ATTAAAGTTGAATAAGTCCTAGAGGATTTAGTAGAATAGCCTAGCTATCTTATTCTCTAACTCCTATCTTAATATAATATTTCCGGTATATATAATAGTATAGTCTTTACACTAGATTCTTAATACTCTATTAAATTATATATCTCTCCCTGCTTTAAGTAACACCCGTAGAGTACTCTCTCCTAAATAGCTAGTACGTAAGTACTATAGTTATAGAGTTATAGAACACTTCTTAAGTAATTAACTTAACGATTAGAAACCTTACTTATTTAAGCTACAACTTAGAGTCGGGTATATTATAATAAGTATACGTATTAAGGTCACTAGGTTATAGGAGTAACAAGAGTATCTAAAAGGCTTATATTTAAAGAAAGTTAAGTTAAACTTTCGAACTAGCTATCTAATAACTACACTCGTCTAAACCTCCCTATATTATAAAGTAGTATCTTTCCTTAAGTATTATAGCCCGGCGTCTTTTAGTAATACCTTTAAGATAATATTAATATAAAAATTATAGACTATAGCGATATTATTAAGTAATAGGTCTTAAGTATTTAGATTATTTAGCTTAGCTAAGGAGTTCTTAAATACTTATTTCCCTCTGCTGACTACTAGAATTTATTATATTCTAGCTTTTATATAGTTATTATCAGTTAATCTCTTAAAGGAACCTAGAACTAGCTTATTCTCGTGATTAACTAAGTGCTAAGCGCTATAGTTATTAACTAAGGTACTCTCTAAAAGTACATAAGGAATATTAATAAAGTCCGCGGTATAGATTCTAAGTATCTCTTTAAGGTCTAAGAGCTTTAAATTAATAGTAGTTATATTAACGTTTCTAAGGTACTTCCCTTTAGCTTACTAAGATAATAGTTCTTAGTTCTTACTAAGCTTCTTCCTAGTAATCTAAGCTATAGAGATAGTAGTCTAACTTTCCTTAGAGATCTCTTAGCGTAGTTCTATATACTTAAGTACTTAGATAGTCTTATAAATCCTCTTAATTTACTTATTATTTAGATAGATCTTATACTATTAGCTTAAAAGCTATTATAAGCGAAATAGAGTTTCTAGTACTTAATTAGAGGGTACTAGTATCTGATTCCATAGGGGCAATTAGTCTTCCTATCTTCTTAATTTAAATAAGAGCGATTCTAAGAGCTTCCGGAATAGTCTTACAAGCCTCTTATATTAGAATAACTACTTAGTATTAGTATAGCATAGAAACTATTAGCTCCCTTACCTCTATTCTAGTAGTACTCCTCTATATTCGCTATAAACACTAGATCATACTCCTCTAGTGTTATACTATACTAATATCCTAAAGTATTATCTCTTATAATATTAGTAAGTACTTAAGCAGCCTAAGTCTCTAATTAAACTAATACTACATTTAAGAAAGCTTATATACTATATACTCCTTATATATCGGGAATATTATATACTCTTGTAAGACAGAAGTTCTTTTACTATAGCTTATACTATATACGAGGTTTAATTCGCGACTTCTTATCTTAATATATTAGTAAGCTAAGTATATTAGTATAGTCTAAAATAACAGAGGTTAGTACTACCGCGTCTAAAGGTGCTATATCACGCTTAATAGACCTAACTAGTGCTTATAGTCTTATAGCGCCCTCGGCTATATTATTATTAATTACGTTAGTTAGAATAGACTAGCTAATAGTACTATTTACTTAGTTAAAGAGGTTCTAAATATAGTTATTAAGCGCTATCTATTTAGCTAGCTTATTTAAGTACTCCCTTATTCGAGCTTCCTAGAGTACCTTAATATCTTTAAACTTAGCTTCTAAGAGCTTACTTATAGATACTAGTAGTTCTATTATACTCTCTTTTTCCTTAGTAGTAGTAGCGTTCTATTTCGCTAATAAATCTAGGTTAGCTTATATTAATAATACTATCTACTTACTAAAGCGATTATTTATTTCCTCTTATATAAAATTATTAATACTCAGGAGATTCAGTTATTACTTAACGATATTTCTAATATTATTAGCGTTAGAGTTAATAAATCTCTAGATTCCTTTAAGTTTAGTATAGTACCGGAAGGTTATTTACTACTAGGGCTATTATTTTCTCTAATTAAAAGTATCGCCCTCGTGTTTAATTAACTTATTTTAAAAGTATATTAATATATTAGAGAGGCTTTCTATAGAACTAATAGCGTTAAGAGTATTTTAGGAAGTTCAGGGAGGTATTTAAAGGAGTTCTTTAAGTAGTAGTATAAGTGTCTCTTAATACTACCTATAACTCTACTTATACTATATAATATACTTATATAGTAGCTTAAACGAGCGAATATAGCTCTTAACTATTATATACTATAGGGAGGAGCTTTATATAGTATAAAAGTCTTGATTTATTAAGGTATTCTAGAGCTCCCTTATAAGAGGAAGCTCTAGGAGTTCTAGTTATATAAGTAGCCTCTGGTTAGCTGGAGCGCCTTAGGGAGTGCCTTAGGTGCGTTAGGTGCACGATATATACCTACTAATATAAAACACCCCGGAATCGTCCTTTGCTTTATTTTACCTTAATATAGCCCTAGTAGATATAAAGGGTACGCTATAGAGCTAAATACTCTTATTTTAGAGAGGTTTATAAGCCGTCCTCTGTATGCTTCAATTAGAGTAAGTCTAGTAGCTGTTTTATATAATAAAGTAGTAGTTAGGCGTCTGTTCTTTAGCTTTACTACTTACTTAATAGCGTAGTACTATATATTCTCGGGTATCTTCGTGTTATAAAGGATTAAGTATGTAATCTTAGCTAATTTATATATCTATCGCTCTATAACTCTATTTAGAGAGTATTTATATAGAAGAGAAGGTTCAGGAATAATTCCACTCTCTTATAGCTAGTTAATAAACTTAGGACTGAACTCTCCCTTACTATTATTAGTCCTCTAGTAGATAATTATACAGAATTTGCTTTACTCTTGAGTTTTAAGCTGTAGCTTTAATTTCTGAATAACTAGTTAAATAGTTAATACAGACTTATTAACTAAGAGATCTACCTAATATATCCTCGTGGTATTATTTACTACTAAAAGGAAGTATTTATAGCTGCGAATTAAGCGTAGTAAGATACTAGAGATATTAGCGTGTAATTAATAAATAGATATATTAGTTCTACTATCTAACTTCTTATTAAAGTGCTCTTTTATATAGCTTATAAGGTAAGCCTTGTAATACCTCTCTCCCTTTAGCTTCGGAACAGAAATTAGTCTTATTCTATAACCGCTATAAGTAACTAGTTTCTTTAAATAGGTGTAATTTATATAGCTTAAACGCCTATAGAGTAGATCTGCTTTTATTTCCTTTGTACTAAGCTAACTCTCTATTTGTTCCTTTAGTAGCTTTAAGTCTGACGGAATTATATTATATATAACTTAATATCAAGGATTTATATCCAGAATATATAAACCTCTGTTTCTTATACTTATAAAGGCTAGTTTATTATTCCGGTATCTATTTACTAATATCTTAGTTAGTTCTGTATTAATTCCTTTATCTAAGAGTTAATATATTAATACTAGCTTTATAGCTCCGAAATCAGGTATATATTATACGTCTTTAAGGGTTAACTTATTAATAGTAATATCTCTATAACCTTTAGCTATTAACTATGAATTAGTCGCTATTTTAATATATTTAGTATTACGCTAGCGCTTAAGTTACTTGAACTTAGCTAGAACTCTACTAAAGTAGCGAGTAGTGCTAGAGTTAATTTTCCAGATAGATTTTATAATAGAGATTATTAATAAAGTATATTCTATATCTTTAGCGTAGTAAATCTCTTCCGAAGGGAATATAGGATAAGTATTATCGTCTTTAATTTCCTTTACTTTATTAGCGCTATCTCTCGCGTAAGTATTCTCAGCTTCTATATAGTTTATATATTAGTAGCTATAGCCTTTACACCGGGTATACTGATTTCGGCCTAATTTAGAGCGATTTCCTCTCTTTTCTACGCGCTTTCTACGTCTCTATTAGCTACTACCTTTACTATTATTATTTTATCTTTCCTATCCTCTCTTATTCTTATATATATTACCTCTCCTACGTGAGTAGCCTCTACTCCTTTAGCCTCTACTATCTCTGCTACCTCTCCCTTTATTATAGCTTCTATTCGCATAGTTTATAGTATTACTAGTAGCTATAAGTCGAAGCTATTCCCTCTATTAAATTTAATATTTATTAAGCTTTTATATAGTATCTCTAAGATCTAGGTCTTATAATTCTAGGGTAAGCGCTATAATAATCTAAGCTCCGGACGCTAATAATAACTATAATAGCTTAAGATATATATCCTTATTAGTAAGAGGTTTACTATCGCTACTAAGCTTTACTTTAAAGAGTAAGAGCCTTATAATATAATTCTAAAGTGTTTCCTCCCTTAGGATAAACTTTATCTTAAAGAAATCGTCTCTTATATTAGTAAAAGTAAAACTCCCTTAAACTACTTTACCTTCGTTTATATAAATAGCTTCCTAGAGAGGCTTAGTGTTGTTTAGTTTAATAATATCTCTATACTTAGGAAAGAGAAGCTTAGAGATTAAGTTAATAACTATTTTAAAAGCTTCCTTCTTTTCCTTAGTGTAAGTATTCTACTAATTAACACTATTTAGTATACTAACTTTAGTAAGAATATAATAAAGAATACTAGCCTTAGCTAGCTCTTATTTAGTCTTAAGCTCTTATTTAAAGAAGTTATTAAACTCTAGTAGAGTTTTGCCTTTTAAGGCTCTAGTGATATAGGGAATTAGTACTTTTAATTAGGATAATATTATAGTATAGTAGCAGATATACTAAGAGTTGATAAAGTAGAGATCTTAATAAAAATGAAGTTTTAAGGTCTTTTTCGATCGATTAGAATTACTACTATGTTATAATTGCAGTTACATAAGGAGCTACTATAGAGAGAGAGAATCTCTTATATAAAGGGGTAGCGTACTCAGTAGTACGGCCTACAGTACTGAGTCTACGCCTACAATCCCCATATTTCTAACAGAATCAGCTCAGAATTTAAGCGAGAGGGTTCTGCGTGGCATGTTGGCAACTGATTGGAGGTGGGAGGAGGCTTGGGTTGCTCAAATGAGACCATACATTGATAACATTGAAAAACAGATGATCGATCATGATGGCTATTCCTCGCTGGTACTCAAAAGCTTTGATCCGTAAACAAAGTGAGACGTTCTGGCATGGATGTAGGCACGATGATGTAGGTGGGGTGACAGGCTGTTTGGCTGACTAAGCCCTGCCAAGTATATATGTAAACAACACTTTCCCTCTTCCCCTCGATTTCCATCACAACACCCCACCACCATCAAAATGTACTCACAAGACGAAACCATCTCCGCAATCCTCAAACTCTACCAACAAATCATCCTGCACCCTTACCTGCCCTCAACCACCCTCATCACCCCACCCCCTACCGGCTGGCCCACCATCTCAGAACCCACCCCCTCCAAAAACGCAACTGTCATCTCTCTACTCCGCCACCTCCCGTACCTGCAATCGGAGAGCATCTCGGAAAGAATTCTCATCAATTATGAAACCCTAGCCATCAACTACTCCTCCTCATCCCAAGGTCAACGCACCGGCGGCTCCTTCGCAGAAGACATCTACCCCCTCCCAGACCACTGCGTCTACCTCAGCCGGTCCATTGACCGCGAAGGCATCGCCTTGATCCTCGATACCAACGAGGGGATCATCACTCACATGAGTTCAGGATCGCAACTCCAAGTGCCGTATGAAGAGTATGACGCTGTTCCGTTTGAGGAGCAGTGGAAGATGTATGAGAAGGTTCCTGTGAAGGAGTTCTTTGACGCCTGGACGGAGAGATTTAAGAAGCTCGTGTGGATGTTGGTGCCTAATCCGAGTGGGGAGCCGACTGGGGGGAGGTTTGTCAGTCGTGCGGTTTTTGCGGCGGAGGAGGAGGAGCTTTTGAGGAGTGAAGGTTTCAGCACGTGGGAGTATCGGCCGCGAGAGGGAGAAGATGAGGTGGATGTTGAGCAGAGGAAGCATGCAGCGGTACGTCTCAATTTTGGAGTTTTGAATTCCGGGTCTCAAAAGTCATGGAAGTGCTGACGGGATATTTTAGCATGTTTACAACACGTATCTGAACTACGGTTGGCCAGATCGTTTCGACAAGGAGGCATGCCGAGCGGCATTGTTGGATCAAGAGAGCAAGAAAAATGCAGAAGATAGGCAGAAAATGGACGAAATGTTTCCTGACCCTCCGGGAATGTTTGATTCGGATTGAGATCGAACGGGATTGCGGCAGAGTCGATCTTTCATTTCAAACAGCCGCACGGTCAAATAATGAAGTTGTATTTGGAGTGGTGCGGTTCAATGGCGATGAGTCAATGCAGTAGACAGCATAGTCAATCAAAAGTCCTTTGGCCCAGATACGCTCTAAACTAAGCATTCTCAAGGCCCTGTGATACATAATATATATTGAAGCTTACTACCGTACCCAGAATTATACCTCCTATGAAGACACAGAAACGCAATAGCCCTCGCCAAGCTGAAACTGCGTCGAACAATTCTCTCCGTTGGGGCCCAATACCGGGTTCCTACAGACAAACATTAGCATTCAAGGATATATGAGTAAACACATGGAATTCAACAAGTCAAAGTGCAGAAGAATTCTGGAAGTAGAAGAAGGGACAAGGAAGAAGAAGTATTACCAAGCATATAACTGCGCAGTCGTAATAGCTATACATATTCGTCAGTGGAGGGACACTCAGAGACGAAAAGTAAAGGGAAACATACCATTGTTCTGCGCAAACGCGAAACAAAAATCACCACTCTTCGCCACCACAATCTTATTACAATTCTTCGCGATCCCACTCTGCGTCGGAATCACCGAGCTTGTCTTCGTCGTACTAGTTGCTGCAGACGAACTCACACCCACGCAATAATCGACATTGGCTTGGAACTGCGTTGCGCAGTTCTCTCCATTGGGACCTAGGACCGGGTTCCAGGCGTAGAGTTGAGCGGTGGTGATGCCGTTGTTGGTCGCGAATTGGGAGCAGAAGTCGCCAGTGACTGCGTTTTTGAATTTATTACAGGTTGCGATTATGCCGCTCTGGGTGGGGTACGGGAGCGATGTTTTCGTCGAGGTGGTGGTGGCAGGTGGGCGAGATGTGGTTGTGGTGGGTGATGAGGATGATACACCGACGCAGTAGTCTACGTTGGCTTGGAACTTTGTTGCGCAATTTTCACCGTTGGGTCCGAGGACGGGGTTCCAGAGGTAGAGCTGTGCGGTGGTGATTTTGTTTGATGTGGCGAAGGCGCTGCAGGTGTCGCCAGTTACGGCGTTGTTGAATTTGTTGCATGTGGAGATGATGCCGCTTTGGGTTGGGTAGGGGAGAGTGCTGGTTGAGGTAGGTGGCTTTGAGGTTGTGCTGCTGGAACTGCTGCCTCCGGAGACTTGGACGCAGTAATCGTACCTGTTTTGTTTTTCAGATTAGATTACATGTTCTATTGTGTTTGTAAAAGAAGAAGGAGAGGAGTATACGAACTGGGCCCAGAATTGGGTGGTGCAATTATGGCCATCTGGATAGCCTAATGCGGGATTCCCTACCGTTATGTTAGCATTGGAGGGTTGCTCTCTTAGATCGAACTCTTATATAGATAATCAATGTGATAAAGAGAGTAAAAAATATAGGGAACGTACATTTGGTGAAATCAGCAAGGGTGATACCGAACGATTGCGTAAATCCAAAGCAAGTGTCGCCCGTGCTTGCATACGCGAACTTTGTGCAGTTGGGCGATATACCTGCTTGAGTTGGTGCTGCGGCAGTGGAATTCGTGGTCGGGACAACTCCGACAGGCCCTTGACCACCCCGAACTTGGCCAGCTGAGTCTGCGTTGGTGCCATTGATCGGCGGCAGCAGGGTGTAGGCGCCTCCTGGTGGGCTGAGATGGTCAGGAAAGTTCTTTTTTTTTTTTGGATTTAAGGCACAAGATTGGACTTACGAGGAGCAGATATACTGCCCGGCTGTTAGGCTGTCGCATAGCCCTATAATATTCGGATTCCAGGAGAGGAATAAAGATGTTGACACGTTAAGGGCGCTGGTGGTATAGGCGGTTGACAGGCTCTTGCAACTATCGCCAGCGACGACTTGCTTGAGAGTACATGGCCTGGGCACGCATGTAGCATTTGATACTACGCAAGTATCCGACCCGGTAGCTGCCTGTAGATCTCCAGTTGTAACACCGTATGTCTGTGACAAGCTGGTACAACCAGCGCTACTAGCTGCCAAAGTCTGGCCAGAACATGTTCCCGAGTTTGAGTTGGGAGCGCTTGAATTGTTGGCTGGGTCTGTTCCTGGTGGGAGATAGGTTGTGTTCGGGGCTAAGGGGTAGTTCGGTAGTGCGCGGATTATGGTTTCTGGCATCTTTACCTGGCAGATATCTTGGATGTCTTGATATTGCGCGATCAAATAGTCCGAGTAGTCCGTGTCTGGGAGGAAAAGCGAATTGAGGCGATACCACATGACTGTCAGGAAACAGGGGCTACAAAGCTATTGAAGAGATTAGAACTCGGCAAATCAAATGCAGTGAATAGAATGACCTACGGTTGTATCGTAGTACAAGTTGGCCTAGATGTGACTATTAGCATGTGTCACACTGGATGGCAAGAACTGATATACCATTCTGGTCATGGCAGAAGGATCTGTGCAGAATACGTTTGATGGATTGGCGGTACAATCTGGCTCATCGACATCTACTCCGATCCAATTTTGCGATTCGAGGTAGCACCATGCGGGTCCTTGATCATAATAGGCCGGATCGGTAATATTGAGGACCGGTAAAGTGTCGTTACTAGATGGTGCAACATCGTGTGGACTGTTAAACGTATCAGCGAAACTTCTCAGGTCAATGCCACTTGATGAGACGAAGGGAAGGGCAAATTCAAGAAGTGCTCCCTTTGCATATGACATACTCATAAAGTGGGTTGCCTGTCGTGGCGTTTGTTTGGACTCCTGTGTTTGGATCTCCGAGAAAGTCTCCAGTCAAACTTTGATCGTTGCTGGTTGAATTGCTGGTATAATTGAAGGGTAAATTACTGATCTGCGTGTCAGACAACTCAAACATCGATTACCGAGTAGGTTGAGGGTACATACTTAGCCTTCAAGCATGCCATTGTGATCCCTTCTACATAACGAAGGGCGACTGTGTCCACCGGTGCAAGCTTGCCTCCCACGTTGTACGTTTGGCCTCCACAAGCATCTCCTACATTTCCAACCCAAATGCTACTGTCTGAGACACAACTATCTGTGCACAAAGCTGTCAAGTTGTCTTGAGACCAATAGTACATGTCGATTTGACCTGCCATACGATAGAGGGTCGGGTCACAATTCAAGGTCGCGTTCCTAGATACCATGAGCGTTCGTGCAATTACTCCTAAGGCAAAACTTACATAGCAACAACACAATCTCTCGTCCATCCTATATTCGCAGCAAGACCTGCAGCACCAATCACTGGAAACATGTTAAACGAGGTTTGAGCCATGGCGACTGATACCAAAGTCGCAAGCCAAAGCATGGTGGGAAGCTGTACTGCAATCATATTTCATCAATAATGAAGCAGAAGAATGGCAGAATGGCAAAGTACAGAATAATGTCGTGGGCATACGTGAAGACATGTAAAAGGGATATGATAGCCCTTGTTGAGTTTGTCATTACTGACCCCCCCTATCCAGCTTTGAGTCTACACCCGAAGACGCCTAAGTTTTGAGAAAGCTAATATGGAGTGATACATGGTGTATCAACCGGATCACTCGGAACATATCTGTGTACCTGTGGCGTCAGTCTCGTGCCAATCTCGTTCGATTATCATATACGTTTCTGGTAGCTGTGCCGCTCTGTTTTCTTATGGTGTGGAGCGAAACAATATAAGCTCACCCAAATGCTTGTCTAAACAAGGTTGCGGGCCGGAGCGTGACCTCCCACCTTCCCCTTTGATAATGCAGCGTACCTAGGTAAGCTTACCGGTGACAAGCATTGTCAAGCAACGTCAAGCAATGCCACCCCTGATTTCTGCAGCGGACGGATCTGACATGACCTGCAGGTAAGCATCCGGATCAGCCCAATCGACTCTCCTTTTATGCGAGGGTGGACTACACTAATCACACGGTGGTCAGGAGGGTGCGGCTCAGGACGCCCCTGACAGGGTAAGATAGCCAGATTAAGAAGGTCATCAAATACTTCAGACGGATGAGTCTGATTATCAAAAGCAATATCCTGCAGTGAGAACATCGTTCTGTTTTCTGAGGCTAATCATATCATCTGATTCGCAGCCTACACGACGATGGACGCATCCATTTCAGGGTCTGCCCACCCCCAAGTCGTTCTCTCTTTACGATGTGATAGCCTTTTCGAAAGAGCCCGAGATTACTTACCAGGAATACACATCATGGTTCTTAAAGCCGAGACGAAAGACGGAATGGTATCCGGAAATATCGACATGGAAGCTTAGAATAACATCCTACTTGACCCCATCGTTCGAAGTGATCATTCATTCAAAGCGGCATCCTCTCATTGTGCCGGTCTTTTGTATGACAAAATGGTCGTCCTATCTACCAAACACTTCCTGCTGGGAGCAGTACTCTGTTTTGTGGCCAGAGCATCTCCCATCGAGTCTCTCTCTACCAATCCGAATTTCTCTTTACTCCCTCGTGCTCTTCCCATCGGGACATGCAATCCAACAACACCATGTCCGAATGGAGCTTGTTGTGGGAGTAATGGGCTGTGCGGGTACTCCCCAGCCGAGTGCGGCACAGGATGTCTATTCAACTGTGATGCGAAAGCTGCGTGCGGGCAATTCGGTACTCCCGGAAAGCAAAACTGTCCTCTGAACGTCTGCTGTTCTAAATTTGGGTAAGCATGGGTTATAAACCAGCAAGAGGTGTCACTTTGAAATCAGAACGCAAGTGCTAATACTCGTTGCAGATTCTGTGGAAGCACCTCTGATTTTTGCAACACCGGTTGTCAAGCGGGCTTTGGATCTTGTGGCAACGCTCCACAGCCCTCTTGTTCAAGCTCAGGTGTGTCTAAGCGTACTGTAGGGTACTATGAGTCCTGGTCCTCTACTAGAAAGTGTCAAAGTGTAGGTCCCTTGCTCAAGAAGTCAACTTTACTGTACTCGTTCTAATGTCAACGAGGTGCCTCCGGAGGACCTTAATCTTGCTGGCTTCACGCACGTGAATTTTGCTTTCGCCTTTTTCGATCCAGCAACGTTTCAAGTTGCGCCTATGGATTCCAACTCGGCTACACTTTATCATCGCTTCACTGCATTGAAGGATAAGTACAGCGGTTTGCAGACGTGGATTTCCATTGGTGGCTGGTCGTTTACGGATCCTGGACCGACAAGACAGTCTTTCTCTGTTATGGCTAGTACAGCTGGGAACCGTAAGAAGTTCATCGACGGCGCCTTGTCCTTCATGAATACTTATGGGTTCGATGGCGTGGATCTTGATTGGGTGATTATATCTTAAGACGTGTTTGCAGCATTAACCATAACTGATACACTTTCCAGGAATATCCCGGTGCAGATGATCGTGGTGGTGTACCAGCAGATACTGCGAACTTCGTGCTACTTGTGAAGGAGATGAAGCAAAGTTTTGGCTCCAAAGGATTGACTGTCACTTTGCCAACCAGCTTTTGGTACTTGCAGCATTTCGACGTCAATGCAATGCAAGAATATGTGGACTGGTTTGCTTGCTCCACCCGCTCCAGACATGCTTTCGCTGACAACTTCGAGGTACAATCTCATGTCTTATGACCTTCACGGAACGTGGGACGCTGATTCGCAGTTCCTCGGACCATATATTGCGCCTCATACCAACTTGTCAGAAATCGATTTGGGACTCGGACTCCTGTGGCGAGCAGGTGTGGCTGCTTCCAAAGTCGTGCTTGGGCAAGGATGGGTAAGAATTAAATGCCTGCATGCTTATGACCTAAGTACTAAGGTAAGAGTAGTACGGACGCTCTTTCACATTGAAGGATTCGTCCTGTAACACACCAAATGGAGTCTGCCAATTCTCCGGTGGAGCCAATGCTGGGCCTTGTTCTGGAACTGCTGGTATTCTCGATCTCCAAGAGATATCAGATATCATTACCAAAAACAATCTCAAGCCCGTCTGGGATAAGACTGCGGGGGTTAAATGGATAACTTGGGCCAGCAACCAGTGGGTGTCATACGATGACGATGATACTTTTGCACAAAAGAAGGCAAGTGTACCGGAACAGAACAGGATCTTCGCTTACAAGCTGTAGGATTTTGCCAACAAACGGTGTCTTGGCGGGATGATGGTATGGGCCATCGATCAGAAAGAACAATCTTCATCCGGGAACAACTTAGCCGCTGGTGTTACTTCGAGTCAACAAGATAGTGCCAAGCAGGCGTCCGCGGACCAGGCAGCTAAGTTGTCGTGCTACACTACCGACTGCAATAAATCATGCAAGAAAGGCACAAATAAGGTTACCCAGATGAATGGACAGCCTGGACAGTTGTCTACAGAGTGAGTGGCACCAACTTATCACCTATATTCCTTCCCAATAAAGTGTTACGCTAAAGATCTCATAGAGGCCGCTGTTCTAAGGGACAGTACCGAACTCTGTGTTGTAACGACGGGACCACGACTGGCACATGTCAATGGCGCGGATATCGTGGTGTTGGGCTATCATGTATCTCAGGGTGTGCGGACGGTACGTTGCTATTTTTCGTCATCTTGAACTGGGGCTGACATAGCTGTGCCAGGCGAATCTGAGCTCGTCACTGATACGAACAATCATGGCAAGAGTGACCAAACATGTAACGGTGGCTTACAATCGTACTGTTGTAGCGGTTTCAAAGCACCTCCGACTAAATCGGATCTTTTGCAAAAAGCTGCCGATGCTGCAAAAGACGCGGCTGAGTCAGCGGCGGAGCAGTTGGCACTGGATATTGCCGCCAAAGCCTTTTGTCGAATTGCAGTTCCCGCACTTCTTGCGCCCCTGGAACTCATTGAAGATCTTATCCCCTTCGTTGGTAAGTTTTGTGACTCCATTCTTCCATGAAATAAGCGACTTATATTTTCCCAGGCTGGATAGCAAGTGCTGCGGAGATTGCTGCAACTCCAGCACTGATCACTCTTTGCACCAAGGAAATCGAAAAAGCAGGAAAAGCAGAGTTCAAGGTTTTCGGCAAGAAGCAGACCCTCACCCTGGACAAGAAGAAAGAACCGGTTTCGACAAGGCCGCCATCATCCAACCATAGTCCGATGCCAACGAGCTCTGCCCAGTGCAAACGAGCTGATGGGGATAATTGTGGTAGACCGCAACGTAATGGCCCTGACTTATATGAGAGTATCGACTCAACGACGCTTTATCCAGCTGCGATTACATCGACCTGCCATGGCAATGGTGTCCAACCCGGAGGTGTCAAACCTTGGATACAAGCATGCCTGCAGTAAGTTCCCGTATTATCAAAGTCTACTTCTTTCCTTACTACAATCGAAACCTAACATCTGTCGCTTCTAAAGCCTCCGTGGTTAGTTTGGGAGAAGAAGCTGACCAATATTGTGATATCTAGTTACAGTTCGGTGATCAACTACCAGCCTGGTTTGAAAACCTTAACTTGTCCTATTGCGAGTAGAGCAAAGCCGGGTCGCCCGTGGAGAGATCGATGGTATGAAGACCATAATGAAGAATGGTAAGAACTTCGAAACTGTACTCTCGGGGAAGGAAAATACTAATATCAGTCCTCCCAGGAGAAAGGGCTGGATGCGATCAAAAGATGCCGATTGCGAAGCAGACGAGTTTCCACCAGCTGCCTTTAACCAAGGTAGTCTCGTTCCACAGCAGTACATTCGCTTCAATCCTGGGTCACAAAACGCAGGTGCAGGCTCCATATTTGGATTGCGATTCTGTCAATTTGACGCCAGTGGCAAGCTGCCTGAAGATAGATTGAATGCAAGATACGTCAGCGATCGGGTCGTTGGTGGGTTGAAGCGTAAAGTCTACCACTATACTGCACGAACAACTCGCAGTAAAGTGGTCATTGAATTCGACGCGGCTGTAAGAGATCCGGACGGCGTTGCCGGACTACATGACAACCCTTGCTGGCCGGAAAATCTTGTAGAAGATCCGGGCTTTGCGCTACTTACGAACGATCCATATTACCTAGGTCACCCAGCTGAAGCAAGATACGGCAAGAAGAACTATGGCGGATTGATTCCGCAAGATGTTCTAGATTCAGCTGCTGCGGCGGGGCATGCCTCGCGAGCTGGATATGAGAAGCGGGACGATGCTTCGCATAATCTGAATCCTGATGCGTGGGTTTATAACGACGGCAACCGTACTCGACGTCTCACGGATACGGAGCTGCAGGAGAAGTTGGGGATCCTACGATGTCGTGCTGCTGATTGTAAAGACGAGATGCGGGCTTTGGGAATAGAGACAGCGATTGTTGTACAAGCTACGGTGACGGCGCCTTCGCAGCAGATAGTGGCATCCACGACGACACAGCTGGCAGCAAGTGTTACTCCCGCTTGGGCTCCTGCTTTGGCTTCTGTTGGGAGTGATATTCGTGGGCTGATGGTTCAACCGAGGGCAACAGGTCATGTAGAGTCACAGTAATGGGCAGTGCGAGCGTCTGAGGTTCAATTGAATCCTTGAAAGTAGAAAGAAATTCGATTGGTCATTCATTATGTTAGTTTCTTACATAAAGTACTTTCATACATAGCAGTCCAAAACCACTTTGAAATTTCCCTAGAGTCTGTCGGGCGGACCACATGGCACTCCCAATCCAAATTCACACCACGCATCTTTCTTGCTGCATCAATGTGCAACAACACACCTCGCATTAGTGCAATAATACTCAAATTTAATTTGCACGAATATCAATCAACCATTTTGAAAAATCCTATAGTCCTCGTCAACCGGGCGTTCGCCGACCCATCTACATGTGGGGTATAGGCTCGCTAATCTTCATTGGATCGCTTGGTCTGCATGCAGAGGCATGTTGTGAGAAGTGAGGCGAACGGCTGGCCATCATTCGTCTGAGGATAGAAGAGGAAGCCTCAAGTATTCATCAGCCTTGAAGTCAATTTCTCTCGTAATTCGTGTGTAAAATTGGACTTACCGCTATTGTAGATGTGTTCCCCTACGAATTCGCTTTTCACCTCATTCTCGTATCTCAAGGCCGTCTCGAGCCAACTTTCTACTCAAACATACAGCCCTCAATCTAAATACAGTTGATCGGTATTCTATGGCCCAAAATGTCGTGTGGAGTAAAAATTTCGAATATTAATATGGTGATAAAGCTAGCCCGGTCAACACTCAAAGCGGCAAAAAAGGCATATGGAGAGGATGATGAGTTCACGGAGGAAATTTTGAGCTTGCATCTAACGTTGGAGCTCCTGCGGTCAGAAGTTACCGATCCAGAGTCTATGATCAACAAACACAAAGGGGGACGTCGAAAGGACTTTGAAACCTACATTGCCAGTTGCCGAGCTCATCTCAGGCGCATCAAATCAGTGCTTAGAGGATACAACAGGCTGAAAATTGGAAGTGGAAGTGTTTCGCAGCGTATCCAGTTTGGGACAGCCGGGGTCAAGGAAATCTCGGATAGTCAATTGAAGCTGTCAACTTACACCACAGTGATCACGTTGACACTCAATCTGCTCTCGTTAGGTTCACAAGGGAGGGTTGAGAAAGAGTTGAGTCGTCTGCGTGGAGAAGCAAAAAGGTTGAGACCATCGATAAATTTGCTGTTAGCCAAGCAGAATGCACTCTCTCGAGAAGAGACGAAAGACGAATCGTTTCGAGCGATTTCTCAGGACGACTGGAAATTATCGCACAGCTTTATCAAACACCTAGAAGCTGACGGATTCAAGCGCAGTTTAGTTCGTGCCCATAAGAACCTCATCATAGCTTATATCAAAGAGCTTAGTGAGAGGGGATTGCTAGACGAAAAGACCCTTCGGGTTCAAAATGTAATCAAGGAGTCTCTGATGCCGAAGGAGTGTCTGATGGATGGTTTGGATTCGGAAGCATGCAAATGTCACGAGTGCATACCTCCATCACACAGGTCGCCCGCCTCACCTTTAACTTCTGATCGCAGGCAAGACGGCTATTTGAACAGGGATCACCAAACCCCTCGTTCGAAGAAGAGAACCTCTTCTAAGATCTACCAAGGGGAGAAAAGAGACATCTTGGACATAAGCCACTCGCCTGCCGCCCCCAAACAGAAATCCTTCTTGTCAATTCTACTCTTCTCACCCAAGAGAAAGTCCAAGAGACCTGCCCCATCATACGTCCACCCACCACAAGAAGCACTCCAACCTCGGAAACGACAGAAGCGAACACCACCACCACCACGCCCAGTCTCTCCAACTCCTCCGCCTCCAGACTGGTGGCTGGAAGAACGACTGCGACGAAGACCTGTTGGATATGAGAGGGGTCGCTCGCCAACACCACGCTATAATGAAGAGCCAGTATATAGTAGAACAATGGCTGTGTATCCCGACGTGAGTTACGGGAGGTGGGGAGGCTATTGAAATGCGGGACTGATAGTCTTTCCATTCCTTTTACGCAAGTCTCTCGAATACTTGAATCGCTGTTCATTCCCTTCAGCCGGCAGTCCATCTAGTATGTACAGTAATGACGATCAGACAGCTACAGGACACGCAAATAACATCTATGGGAAGTGTGAAAGTTCTTACTCTTGTAAATTTTATCTCGGCGTAGTGCAAGCAGGTCATTACTTATTGACCTGTACTGAGCTTTGAGCCGTACGTCTAGCATTTCACGTGCTCTTAAGTTTCATTGCCCGAAGTCCGTCGATCAACTTATCACTCGCACTCTCCTCCGACTTTTCCAATGAATAGAAAGAGTCAAAGGTTTCGCTCTCACCAGCTCGTACCATCATATACGCAAGTTTCCAATAAGCCTTGGCCTTCTCGGCTAAATCGGGCGAAGTGACTCGCCAAACAGACCAGAGTATTTCCCAACACGATGTGAGTTCTTCGGCTGCATAACCCCATTGCTTTACAACTAGTCCAGTTTTTGATCTCAGTGACTTTGATGTTTTCATGTCGACTCCGACAGTGACGAAACCAAGAGCTTCGAGTGCTTTGAGAGCATAGATACTAGCATTGAGCTGATTACCACTGCCGTTGTTTTTGATGAAATGCTGTGCCATGGCTGAGTATAGTTGGAATAGCTCAAATCTTGGTATGTCCTTTACGGGAGATATATAGGTGTTCTCAAGCTTTACTGCAGCATCACGAGGATCGCTCGTTGCAAGTGATGCCAGAATCTCCTTTCTCTTGGCCTTCACCTTCGTTGGCGTCTTGGCATCGTCTCGACAGAGAGCACAATTACACTTGAATCCCCAGCTGTCTGATAAAGATTTCTGCATTTTTTCCCGGTTCATGGGATCCGCGTAGCACCAGCCGAGCTCCGTATCTGCTGGCATATCTTTGGTTGCACGTACAATCATCATATCGCCGATAAAAGTGCGTGCGCAATTTTTCATGCAGGTGTGATTGATATAGGCTGCTTTGATCCAAAGCCCTGAAGCTCCAAAGATACTGTCTTGGGAGGATGTTTGCAATGTATCCTTGGAGGTGACAGTGCTTCCAAAGACATTTAATGAGACAATTCGCTCGATGAGAAAACTACGCTTGTCAGCAATCTGGTCTCAACCAAAATTGTAGAAAAGCGCCATACCTGTCAACAACTGGAGCTCCATCGACTTTTACTTCGGTAGCACGCTTATACGAATCACTATATAGATCCAAGAATTCCGAGGCCATAGATGAATTGTTGGCGAGCTTCTGGTAAATCTCGGTAAGTTGAGACACGTGAGTACCCATCGTCAAACGATTTGTTCCCAGATTGACCAAGATTCCAATATCTGCTGTAGGCACATCCGAATTGCTTGAATTCTCTGCATGAGCATAGGAGAAGGCTTTCTCGCACATCAAGAGATCTCCAGCATTGATGCCTTGAGTCGTGAACAAACCACGACCTTTACCTGGAGTTTCCCGGACCTCAACAGCACCGATGTATGTTGCGCAATCGATGAGAGGTGGTCGTAATTTGGCAGCTTTATACATCTTCTTGAAATTGTACAGCCCTGTATTCTGCTCCCTAAGTCGAGCTTTGATCCGAGCAAGCTCAAATGCACCCGACTGGCTAGCGGGGTATTTGTTCAGCAATATTTGGAGGAGTTCGAGAGCTTCTTGGTAGCGAGAGAGGTTATAAAGTGCAAGAGCGCCACGATAGAGCGCCTTTTCAGACCTAGCAGCGTGATCAACGATAAAGTTTGCGTCTTGAAGTGCTGCATCGAATTGCTTGAGTCTCAAGTATGCAAGCGCTCGGTTGTTGTGAATTATTTCGGCCTCGGTAGACGTTGTTGACGCGTCCAGTGCCGCTGTATAGCTGTCGAGTTGATTAGAAAGAGGCCCAATCTGAGAACAATTAAGACGCACCTGTTGACTGCCTCTCTAAATTTTCCTTCCTTTACTTCATCATTGCCCTTTTGCTTCCATTCGGCTCCGTTCTTGGCACTTTCAATTTTGGTTGTTTTCCACGCCGATGGAACGAGTGGATCATCATTGGAGAGCCATACGATATCTGTAGGATGATCAACTCGAAGTCCATATCCACCGTCGCCAACACATTTGAAATAAGGCTCTTTCAACAACAAGACACTATCTTTCTCTAGGATATCTGCGGCTGGTCGTACATCTTCGTTCTCCTGTTGGTACAGCGAGAAGGTGAGCGCATCGCCAGCCTCATCTTCGGCCAGTGATATAATTCCCGTCAACCTGACAGGGGTAACAAACAATCGTAGGAGCAAGTAATAGCCACGATGATGATTTTCCAGTGTCAGCTTGTCGATCATCGTCTTCTTCAAGTTTTTCACTGGCGCAGTGGAAGGCAGATACGGGTCACCCACTATAGATGCCCGCATTTGGACATCCTTCGATCCTGACTTCCTGAGTGCCATGAACTGCTGATATTGTATCATATGATCCCTTGCCAGCGCATTTCGGGAAGAGCGGTCAGTGGGTCTCTCTCCCTTCCTCGCTCTAGCTGCTTCCAGTCTTGCTTTCTGGCCGAGAAGAATGTGCGCATACTGCGCGTCGTGAGAGACATCTTGAATGTCCATTGCGATGAGAAATATATCGACGCAGTGTATCTCTTTTCTGCTATTGTCAGGGAGAAGATGCTAACCGCGATTGCTGATCCAATTTTTCTTTGTTTGACCCACCCCCACAATTCGCTAAGCGAGAAGTTATTTACTAGCGAACAAACAGTGTTCGAGTTTCACCTGAACCATATTGCTATAGCATCTAGACTTCCCCACTCAGTTATACTTATTCTGCTAAGTTGCATCATATTCAATGCAAGAGAGTGATTGTCTTCGCTCGAACTATTAAATAGTGTGAGTCAAACTGCCCTTGTGCTCCGAGGAATATTGAGTTGCCCCTTCTGATTATGTAAGCAGCGCTCGGTCATATAAAGTACCCAGGTACCAATCAGGTCAACACGTGCTACAAGACTTTAATCTGATCTTTTGTATTGCCACGAGACCTGATGTCTTCTACTCCGAGGCTTGGCTGTTGCAGATCATAGATACCGTAAAGTAGAAAGCAGGTTCTGCCCCACCATCAGAAGGGCATTTTCCTAGAATAACAATCATCCAACTGTTACAAAACCTCTGCAACTATCAATTGACAGTGATAAGAATTTCCTGAGAGTTGCGAGGACGTTATTTCAGGAAAGCGCCCCTCCCACGGTGAGGCGGAACCTGTTTCCTCCTTCAAGGTAAAACTAAGCAAAGCCTGTTCACGCGCTGCAATTCACCGATATGCTCCATTTCCGAAACTTGGCATTGTCTAATGCATTGACAGCCGAACATATTCTGCCTAAAGCTTCAGTTGGACCGCGTCGCTCTTGTTTGTTCGTCTTTCCAACTGATTCGTAAGTCAATACTAAGACGCTTAAGCGAAAGAGCCCCTGAACCCCTTTCCCCGATTTTCGCTTGAGTTTGGCTTCACTACCCCGCTCTTGGCCTAGCCTCGACATTCAGCACTTTTGATGCCGACTGATGTACTCCTTAGACCTTAAAATTGAGTCCACTGCCTCAAATCGAGACCGTACAGTGAGCCAAGAACTGAACCAGCCTCCTTGGTCCAGAAATTGAAAATGCTGCTGCGCATGCCGAGAATGTTGCGAACACGGCAGTATTCAATCCAATTCTTCGGAAATTGGTTTTCAGCCGGATCGGAGAGATCAATGTGGTTTGCATACACGATGAATAAAGCACATCCATTCCATTCACTAACAGCCTGAGATGACTTGGATCTACCACGGGACACTTGAACAAAGAATACATTGACAGGGATGTGTTCGGTCTTCAATCGTCCGCCGAATGCGGCTTTTACATTCCGATGTCCCGGTCTGAATGTCAAGATTTTACTTCCTTCAGTTGCTGCTATAGACTTCAAGCCTTTGTGGTGGTGGCCATAGAATAACAATATCAGGTATTCATCCTGACTCCCACAACCCTCGATCATGAGATCCAACTCCTTAAACTTCCCAATCATCACCACAGTTGAGTAACCTGCTTTTCCTAGATTCGCACATATAATTGGTAAACTATGGGATACCTCTGACGTGCAGTATTTTCTCCCACAGCCTTCCAAAAGTTGAACTTCGCAATTTCTCCACCACTGCCAAATGAACAAGCATCAACGACACAGAAGAGTCCGCGACCACAATCTTCATGCCGGACTGGCCGATGTCTACACTCCAGGCCGCCACTATCCAACCTACCTTGCCGAGAAAGTAATTTTATTTTCAAAGCATCGAGGCGCAGAGCTCGCCCGCCTTCAAAAGCTAGCGTTCCATCGTTTCTACAGTGAGAAAATATTTGATCTGCGACCCGAACTCACGAACATATCAGACCAAGCAGTACTCGCGGCTTATTTCCAGTTTTTTGATGAGCTATTTTTCTTCGGTAGCCTCGGAGGCAGCAAACGGTGTCTCCTAAAATGCGACTCCAAGCTTGCGGAAGTAGGTGGACCTCGTGGCAGGTTCTCGAAACGAGGAGTGCTGAATGTCCAAAGTGGAACGCAAGGCCAGATTTACGAGATCAAGATATACAAGCAGAGAGGTGAGAATAGATATTACAGCCTCCGTGCTGCACTGGGGTTTATGTTACAAGCAATGTGCCATGCGTTCTTGAGACTTTGGCAGTGCTGGTCAGGTCACTGCAATGAGATGTGGGGTGAGCATGGAGCGGGTTGGGCGTGGCAAGATATGGCGCTGGCGATTGAGAATGCGGTTTCGGATGGCCATTTTGTCAATCTAGATATTCCACTTGGAAGGCTGGAGATGTTGGCGGATAATTTGAGGGCATATCCTGCATACTTGAAGGAAGAGCAATTGAGGAGGTGGAGAATAGATCCGAGAAAGCTTGAAAAATTGGCTGGGAGGTTGAGAAGATAATTCACAGAGTACGTGGCTTCCAGATGTCAAACAATTCATGGAATCATCCTTGAAATGCATATTACGGCATTGAATCTTTTGCTGGGATCGTACACTGCCAACGAGTGCGCGTGAATCATACCCACGCCTGAGTCACACAAATAGCACCTATGGGGCTACAAACTTTGCGAAGTTGGCGAAAGTTTTGAGTAGTCATGTGAGTAAAGCGGTGGAGAAACAGGATTGATGCCAGGAAAGCACAATACATTCGGGATTTAGAATTCGCCATATCTGAGCATGAGCGGAGAACAGAGTAAATAGTTGTTCAATCAATTTGAAGTCTCGCACGGGTGCCTGAAAGAGTCTTGCTCCTGAAAGCCCGAGTAACGGAGAGGAGATCGAAAATAGTTGAAACAATCCATAACGGCTAGATCTGTACATCTTCAGCACTGCTACAGTGCCGTCCCCACAGTATTTCATCATGCACGCCATACCTGGTTAGGACGAGTATTGCAAAAGACATATTGAGAAAAACACATCAGGAGAGCCGAGTTCAAAGTAATACAGATAATGTTCTCCAAAGTCTAACCAGACGACACATATCCCAAGGCCGCATTTATCAAGATAATCACAAGTCTAGGCTCTGTCCCATGAATGTGGCTACCATTTGACCACTGCTAAAGCCTATGCCCAAACTGCATCCAAGGTCAGCAATTACAGTGTGTTGTAACCGCCCCGACTACGCTCTCAGGGATTATCATCCCTCAGACAATGGTGACAGTCTTCATTTCCCAGCCGAGCTCCTCGCTTCCATCTATTGGCATCTCAACGATACCAATCCGGCGGTATGTAGTTCTTTCGTTCAAAGTTGGCTCCAGTACAAGTCCGAAGCTTACATCCCCACTATATGAAGATTTTCTCGGGTGCCAGTGGGGAATTCCGATGAGGTCACGTTGTATCTTGAAACGGGCAACTTGCAATACGAAGATTTCCTCTTCGAGGCAGAATATTCTATGCTCGAACTCTTCCGAATCCATCCAAAGCACGATAGCATCAGGGCCTGGCTTTTCAAAATTCTCAGGCTTAATCTTCGGCACAGGACGGCGCACATACATACCAGCACGAAACCAGAAGCCATACGTGGAGAGGAGATCCTTCATTTGCCTGCATATCCCTCGTAGTGACAACTTGGCTGGCAGAATGACTTGGCCAAAAGGGTTGCCTCCAACGTTCTTCACAGATTTATGGACGAGCTGGACTTCGTTTGAAGCAATATGGCTCCAAGGAGAAGGACCGAAAACGTACAAGTCGTGTCTGCTGCAAGCTGGAACATCTATTGCCGTTGCCCAGCTCCAAGATGGTGAGTACCTTGCGTCGGTTCTCCCTCCAATGCTTTTCCATAATAAACCACGACGGAAGTCTTCCAGCCAAATCCCCGCCGTATAATGGTAGCCTGTACGATCAGAGTATTCTTTCGCAAGGCCGGAAAGAGCAGGAAAGCGGTCCGTAAAATGCGTTAATTCGCGAGTTGCGTATTCATTGACCTGTCTGTACCACCAAGCGATAACCATGTCTCCATGTAGAGGTAGTGACCCGTAGGTCCACCTTGCTTCAAGGCGCTTAACAGGTATGGTATAAATTGACGTCATGTATCCTGGATCTCTTTCCACATCATGGATTAATGACGGTTCCACCTCGCAACACCTATCGTGCACCGTACAGCAACTCCACCGAATACCACTTAATGTGTAGCGTAGGCGTCGTCGGGATAAAGCTGCCTCCTGGAATGCCAGACCCTTCGCTGCAGGTAGCAGAGTCCCTCGCGAGAAAGTCTCCAGTTATGAGGGCTTGCGAAGATGCTCGAGCTAGCCGTAGTGGGAGGACTGAACACTGGCAATCTCACCAAATTCTCCTTGCGGCCATGGCCATATAGTCGAGGCGGGATTTTGTTGGCACTTTTGAAGATACCTTTGTGGGGATCAGTCGCAGCATCGGCACTTAAAGTGAGGACAGAATTTGCGTATATCTCTGCCATTTTGACCGACTCTCTCTGCCAATCTTCATCACAATCTTGGACGATGCAAAGGCAGTCGATCCAGATATATCGATAGCCGAGCTTTCGGGTAATAAAAATAGCATCTCGGAAAGACTTGGGAAGCCGTGAGTAGGCAAAGCTACCAGTTCGGGACATAAGGTTGGCTGTCGTTGTAAGCCGAATCCGGGCATTGCCCCAGCAATGGCTTAGGGTCAACCATTCTCCAAGCTCACCGGTCGAAACGTGAAGAGAGACGGTTGGTGAATTATTGTTTCCAACATCGACAACCCGTGCCGGTAATGTGGACTGTGTGCCGGCACATATTGACCCGTGGCTCTCTAGACACGTCTTCATCCAGTATTTTGCCAGCTCAAAGCATTGTTCGGATTTGGTGTCTTTTGCAAGCGGGCGACTTACAAATGTGCCTGGTAGCAGCTTGTTGATCGGATCATCTAGAGGCAAGTCAGCCTGATGCTCCAGCCGGAACTGGATACTTAAATAAGGCCAGAACCTTTTGTTGTATACAACTTTATCCCGTCTGCGTCATTAGACCAGCCTTGCAAGTCAGTCTCGTATCTGAATGACAGTAAATCGTCCCGCAGCATCGTGCAGTAAATCGGCACATCTTCGCCGCATGGAAAACGTCGGTATGATGGGCAACGACGCTTGAAAAGGCCTATTGCGAGCTGGCACAGAACGCAACCGTGTTTTGCCGACTTGGACAATGATGCAAGGCTGTCATGATGCTGGACAGGGTTCTCGCGCCTATCGTTGGACTTGTGGTTTGGATGCGTGCTCAAGAGAATGTTGACATTCAAAACAACTTGACATTTTTCACAAACCATGTTAACTGACATCGACAATTGGTAAAGCTGAGGGGAAGAAAGGGCATCGGATATAAACCAGCTTTATTTCAAGCAGAGTACGGTCATGCGATTACGGGCGAATGTTGGTTTGACAACTGGACAGCCGAGCCACTCATCGCATGAATGGCTACATGCAGCAACTTCTTCAGCCAACAGACATATTAACAGAATGAACAGATTGGCTGCAGCAAGGTGAGATCACTCGCTTGAAGGCAGCCCTGCAGGCCACACGATAAGACAACGACCTGTGCCGCTTGGCGATGGGATGTGCATGAACATGCAACGGCCTCAGGGTAAATCGAGTAAAAGCCAACCGCCCTGAATATACATGTTCATACAGTTTCTGATCGTACAAGCTCCATCCTTATAGCACGACCTTCTCTTGTTTCGGAGGCTGCTCATGCATAAACCCAGGCTCGGCTTCACCAGCCTCCATATTCTCTCCCACCTCAACTTCCTGACCCTTCTTCAGGTCCGCATCAAAAGCCTCCATCTCCTGCGCAACCTGTTGTGGTGTAGCTGCTTGTCCGTCCGAAGTAACCAGGTCGTCCTCCTTGGGCGGCAGACCAAGTAGTTCCCTCTGCCGTCTGAACCTCTCCTTGACCCTATCCGTCTGCATAATCCTCCACCTCAACTTCCACCCACCAATACCCAGTTCCTTCAGCCTTCCGGCCTTCTCCCCGAGCAAGTACTCATCCAGACCTCCAACCTTATCCACCGTCCTCAATACCCTCGTCGTGATCCTCAACCTGATATAGTCCTGCAGGGCATCACTCCACAGCCTCTTGAAGTGTACATTAGGTCTCCAATATCGTCGAGTCTTGATCTCGTTCTTTTCTGACACGATGTTCCCGAACCGGATCTTCTGCGTACCGTAGAGACCATTGTTGGATTGTTTGTAAAAAAGAGAGGGCCCGTATGGGTAGGGAGGCACGACGCTGTGCTCGCCTTCAAGTCGTTTATTGGAGCGATTTGCAAGTGTTCGCGCGGTGCAGGTGAAGCTCCGAAGGTGGGTGAGAGAGGGATGCGATGATTTGAAGAGAGGCATGGTTGCGCGGGTGACGCTGAGCGTCAATTGAGCCGCGGGATGTCCTCGATGAGCCGAAAGCTATGCCGTGTTCGACTATGGATTGAACTTCACCGGTGAGAACGGAGAAGACGGCGTGAACGTGTGTTGGGTATCTTGATGAAGCTTCAAATGTTGAAGCTCCTGAAGGTCCATAATTTATTTCTTAGCGTAAACGCTGACTTAAGCCTCGCTTCTCAGGCATCAAGCCATCTCCTTGGCTAGATATTTGAACCACTCTATCCGAGACTGTAGAAGACTTCTGAAGGAAATAACGAAAATAGAACTTCTTCAAATTTAATCTCTTTTGCATAGAACTACTAGTCATTGCAAAAATGTCCTCTTGAGTAGCATGAGTCCTTCAAGCCTCGCTTATATGCTCCCCAGTATTGACAAATTAATTCTTGGCCCGCGAACTTTTCGATAAGCTGGCGCAATTATTTTTGAACGTCTATCATTTGACATAGAACAAAGCTAAATCTCTTTTGGTTTATCCCATAACATGTTGGTACTAGTGACTGGCAGTAGAAGTTTGGGCTGACCTTTGTACGTCTCGAATTGATCAAGCAAGTCAAAGCAGAAAGTGAGAAACTGAAACAGACACAGCTTGAGTTGATAATACTTAGGAAGAAGAAGAAGAAGAAGAAGAAGAAGAAGAAGAAGAAGAAGAAGAAGAAGAAACAGTGTGCTATCAGTTCCAGGTGGTGTGCCTCCTCACACCTCTTAGTGGGTAAAGCGGGCAGCGAAATTCGGTTGCATTTTCTCTTTAAAATTAAGAATTACGAGTGACAACTCATGTCTATTGACTTTACCATACCATCAGGCAACTCTTTCTTCCTCCCACGAGAGCTTCAAGTCTTCATAACCTCCACTAACGAACTCTGAACCAACATCAGGGTCCATATCAACACAACACTGCATTGTATAGCTTGTGTACATCGTCACTTTAGGGGAACCGCCTCCCTGCGCTCGTCTGTCAAACTCTTCGGCTGTGTCCATTTCATCTGCTGACATTCCAAAAGAAAGTTTCGCATCGTCGTTTGGGTGGGCCATGTGCCATTTCATCTGAAAGTCCGAGATTGGCGTCGTAACAGTCTTCTGAGCCCAATCGTAGACGGTGCCCATCCTTACGCCATCCTCAACGGTGATATGTCCAACTTTCAAATAACTCCCCATCTGGTAATGCGAAGCCTGTCGAACCTCAAAGATGGTTGCTGGCGGTTGCACAGGAAGCATTCGGCGCCAACTAGCATCTTTCCGCACATAAGCTGCACATTTCTCCTTAGTAGACCCCCATTCAAGTTCTTCGAATTTCCATCCACGGCTTCCACGGTGACTGCCTTTGCGCTCTGTAGGCTTGAACCAGGCCGGGAACTTTTCTGCAAGCAGGGGGTTGAATTGTGGTTTGAGCCCACGATCTGAGGGCAGAGGCGCAAAGAAGAGAACTTGTTGTACAGGCAACGAGTCCACAGCAGCTTTCCATTTACTGCTCACTCGTTGTGCGTTGATCAGAATATCGTTTATAGGCAACTGAATGACAATGGCAGCGGTCAGCTCTGGAAGAGCCAGAACTTTGTCTCGTGCAGAAATTGAGGGCATCTTTTTGGCAGTACTCGTTGACAACACTTTCAAAATCGAACAAGTGTAGTACACGATATATTATTGTGGTATCGGATGGATCTGTGTAAGTTTTGATCGTTAAGGCAGCAGTGAAAGGGTCAATGTGGATGAGGTCAGCTGCAAAATAAAGTGGCGAAGTCTCTCCTGCTCCTCACATGTGAGGCTGAAATATTCGAGTTGTTACAGCAGTAAAAACTACTTATTAAGCTAAAACCAGAAGTATAAGAGAATGTTGTGTTTTGTAGCGGTGTTACAAGCCTAGAAGATGAGAGGACTACAAGATATCTTCATTCAGGCGATCGTCATGTGACCGTATGATATGCCATATCGAGAATTCCTGTTTTCGACATTCCACTCTTCCATTTCATAGAAAATCACGATTTGCAGTTTTTTGCTCCTCGCCATTGTACGTCCTGAGGGCACATCCAACCTAATATCGACAATTCCAAGTCACGAGCTTTGATTGCACGTGATGAGAGGCAAACCTTCCAAGGTTGCCTTACCTTACCTATGGAGGATTGTGTAACGGCCACAGCTGTACCAGGCATATGATAGCACCTCAAGAGCTCTTTATTTTCAAGCGTATCGAGGTATCACCCGTTTCTTCGCCCACCATTGTACCGTTTTTGAGATGAAACGTGAAATTGGCCGAGTTGTTGTATGATCCAGGACAGCTCTTATTCTGAGAAGAGAGCTTGAAGTTGTGTTTTCAAGAAGCTCTGCTGTGAAGCATCCAAAATTTGAAGTGGTGATCTTTGGTAGGAGGTGTAGAGCGCCATATCACCAGGTGGTCAATGGAAGAAAAGCACCAGTGACCATCGTTTAGAAGCTCTTATTTACATTTGAGGCATTACTGGGACCTTCAAATATTTCTAATTCCTCCTTCAACTCTATCTTCGAATGATATACAGCCACACAGCCTTCTCGCTTGTGTAACCTTACGTCAGCTTCCAGGTCCCACCACCATCAGGCAGCTCCGAATACTACATCGCAGAATAACAGTTCCTTCATCTATCGATCATAATGCGAACAGAAATTCGCCATGGTCGTCCACCTCTTAACTCTCCCACTGGAGATCCGTACCATGATCCTCCACTACCTACTTTGCTCCCCGACCGGCCACATCACGCTTTACGCATCAACTTCGAAGAAGTCCACCCAGGGCAACACGCTCAAAGTCCGCCCTCACAACCCGGACAAACCTAAATCATACAAAACCGCACGCACGATCGGCCTCGCAATCCTGAAGACCTGTAAACAGCTCAAAGCCGAGGCCAATGAAATGATCTGGAAAGAAAACATCGTCACTTTCCAGTTCAATCGCCCTGCTCTCAATGATGACTCGGACCGAGCTATTAAGCGGATGTGCAAGTTTGAATGTTGGGCACAAGGATTTTTTCTTCGTCATATAGAATTGTGTGCATTTTGGTTGTGCCGGGATAATGCCATGAAGAACCTCGGCGCGCTTTCTATTGTAGAAAATTGTGCACAGCGGCCCGATGGCGTGTTGAGGAGTGTCATTTTGAGAAATGTTTCTGTTGGTAGGGAAGATGGTTGGAATATGTGCGAGCAGCTCTACTTGCGACGTTCCCAGCTGACCGATGATGACATGGTGTCTTCTTACACGCTCGCAGCGTTGCGCAATCTTGGAGGTCCTGATGGGGTTCTGGCAAATGTACAGAGAAAGATGGTGTTTGATATTGATTTTGAGTGCACAAAGATGGATGTTCCTACGCTGGCATGGTGGAAGAGTGTTGGCATCGTGGAGGGGCCTAAGATGATGACGGAACTCCATGATGCGTTTGGTGGCGAGCTTTGGGTCAATGGTAGATTATGGATGAGAAATGGTGTAGAGGAAGAACAGATGTTACAGCAAGGAAAGGTAGCTATGGGCTGAAAGACATCATGCTTTAATAATTCAGAGTGTCGTCACCTCAAGTGTCGCAAAAACAGAGGTCGAAGCGCTGATTAGTCGAAGTTGTTGTTTGAGGTCTTGTCTCTTGTACCTTATCCCATAAATTATTCTTACTCATAGAAAACTAAAGAAGACAAGTCACGACTTCGTCGTCGTCTACGCTGGCGTGCATACCATTATCGTCCCATTGACAGGAACCAGGCTTCTCATACAAGAAAGATGACCATGAAATGTGCCCCTTGGCTTTCAGCTCTTCAGTTGCATATTGGAGATCTACACCTGTCTGAAATTCCAAATTACGAACTTTTGATCATTACACTAGATACTGATCCTGGGAGTCCCTTCTCAAGAACCCCACCATCTTTCACTAAACGAGTCCACCGTACATTCGATATGGGTTCGACGTACTTGAACATTGCCGCTTTTTTAAACTTGGTAACAGGTTTTTAATGTGCTATAGCGATGCAATCTAGCTAGAGGTCAAAGTAAATCAAGTTGTGCAAAAAAGATATGATTTCCTGATGCCTGTTCAATAGCAAATCTTGAGAGATGAAACTTGTCAGATTTTTGCTTTTCTTAGATAAGTGAACTTTGAGATTGGGAACAATCATGGTTCGTATCGTGTTAACTACTTTGACAAACTACTCTGTCAAACTACTCTGTCAAACTACTCTGACATATGCGATGCTTTAGTTCCACAAGATTCTAATGAAATTCATTGCTTTATTTTTTATTCCTTCAAGCTTTGACAACTAGCAGATGAAAGAGAGGGTCGTCAACGCCCACAGTTACTTGACACCCGACCTTTAGCCGTGACGGCCCAACGAGCCGAAGCTGGGGAGCTCAGCTGCCCTCCACTGTTTTCCAAGAGATTTGTCTAGGGCTGTTTCCCCGGCATTTCTCCGTAGGTGGGGGGACTTGACTACTTATCAATAAAAACTTATGACGACTCCATCATCGTTGGCATTAATTCTATTGATTTCAGAATGACATCTTGGTTGTAAGATTTTACATGATCTCTAGATCATCCCACCCATCCATTTTTTATCGACTGAAACATTAGATATCGATCTGTCATCCAGCGTTGCTTTCGACCTATTGTATCCTCGCCTCACCATGACCACAATGACGCAGCTTGAACCAGGTATTTCTGAGGCGTATCAGCTCGACGATCACCAAATCAATTGCCGAACGAAAAGTAAGGAGCCTTCGGGGCATTAATTGAAAGCAGCAGGCTCGAACGCAATGCAAAGTCAGGTGCCATACTTGAAGCTTATGAGCGCGGGTTTCTCATTCTTTGTCGCCGGCGTCAACGATGGCAGCACTGGGGCTTTAGTTCCCTACATAATTCGAGATTATGGAATCAATACGGCAATCGTTTCATCAGTGTACGTATTGATCCAGTGGCTCATGAATGCATTGAAAAGAAAGCCACTTAACGCTGCAATAAAACAGATACGGAGCCAATTTCATGGGCTGGTTCCTCACGGCTCTGACAAATACCCATCTCTCTCAGAAGTTTGACCTCGGTGCTATGCTCATGCTTGGCGCAGTCCTCCAACTAATTGCGCATGCTTTGCGTTTCTGGAGACCACCGTTCGAACTATATGCAGTCACGTTCTGGCTCGTCAGTCTGGGCCAAGCGTACCAAGACACCCATGGCAACACATTCGTGACTACCATGAAGGGAGGGGCGCACAGGTGGCTCGCGTTTATTCATTCTATGTATATGGCCGGATGCTTCTGTGGCCCTTTCGTAGCCACTGCCGTGTCCTCAGCTGGAAAACCTTCGCGCTGGTATCTATTTTATACTTTGCCTCTTATACTCGGTGTCATCAATGTGGTCCTTGTGTTTTACGCTTTTCGGGAAAGCGTTGGGTTTAAAGCAAAACAATCTTCTCAGACTGCCTCAGCTTCAATGGACGCAGAGGCTGCCACCAACCTCGACATTCATGCTCCAGCCGACCCCACAGCAAATGCTACCGCCTCCACTCTCATTTTGGAGACGCTAAAGACTCGGAGTGTCTGGCTTCTGAGCATCTTCTTCTTCTTCTCCATTGGTGCAACACTTACTGCCAGTAGCTGGGTCGTGGAATACCTGGTCGAAATTCGTAAGGGGGATATATCCACAATGGGTTATGTTTCGGTCGGCTTTAACGGAGGCTCGCTACTGGGAAGAATCTTCTTAGCTGAGCCTACCCACAGATTCGGGGTTCGGAGAATGATCTTCATCTACAGCGTGCTATCTATCGGCCTTCACGTGTTGTTTTGGCAGTAAGAATATCTCATCCGCTGCTCAGAAACTATCTGACAGCGAACAGAGTACCCAACATAATTGCAGCATCTATCTCGATCAGTCTTCTGGGTTTTCTCATGGGGCCTTACTTTGCTACTGTAGGTCTTCTCTTACATTTTATTGCCCCGATGAAGATAGTCTATGGAGGCACTGACACGCAATTAGGGAGTTTCGGTTGGCTCTAAGCTATTTGCTCCGCGAATTTACTCCACGGGGCTATCCTTTGTGTTTGTATTTGCTCAATTGGGAGCCTGCTTCTTCCCTATTATTACTGGTGCCATCGCCTCAAAGCTTGAGGTTTCAGTGATGCAGCCTATCTTGTGCGCGCTGCTGGTTGCAACTTCAATTAGCTGGTTGTTTGTTCCCAATCCAAAGGAGAGCGAGAACACTGCTCTTCATCACGAATAGGATACAGATTTCCGCATAATTTAGAAGTGGAAGTTGATGGTACGATGAGATAGAATGTTGGATTGGAGAGCAGAGTGTCTGATTGTGATACTCTTTACTACCTAGGTAGTGTGAAGCGACTGGATTAAATCATTGGAAACGATGTAATATAATCACACAATCCCTAACGTATATCCGATGCTAATTCAAAAGCCAGCATCTGGTAAGCAATACAGTACTATGATGACAGTCTTGGACAGGGTGCTAGTTCCTTCTGAAAATACAAGCTGTGTTGTGTCCTCTTGCTTATGACATTGTAATCGTGCCGTTTGCTGACTTTGTTGACAATCGCCTTTCTTTAAGCGACATTGCCAAGAAATACCAATCTATGGACGGAGTTCCTGCGACTTGCATCTGGAAGTTGCATGCGAAATATGGCCCAATGGTCTTTAATTGCCTTACGTAAAATAGGCACTGCAAAACATTTTGCTTTTATCTACCTACCTTACCTAGGTGATGAGCGGACTCTACCATCACTCCTGCCTAGTTCGACCCGATCTTGCCCGCGCCAACCAAAGCCAACGGAGCATCCATTTATCCCAATCTAATAGCTCTTCTTTGTAAAATTGCACGATATCACAAGAGACAACGATCCTCTTAAGATGTCTGTAGCACACCATTTACTCACCCTCCCCCGCGAAATTCGCGACGAGATCTACTCCTGGATCCTCATTTCCCCGACCGGCTACGTGCGACCCATCAATACAGGCCACTCACCAACAGATCCCATGCCCGCCAATCCGCAATTTACGTACAGTCACCACACACCCTTCCAACGAACATCTTCCGAGAGCATATCCTTCACCATTTTACGAACGTGTCGGCAGATTTACGTGGAAGCGAAGGACGTGTTCTGGAAGAACAATATAATCGTCGTCCGATGGACACAAAACAAAGATGCGTGGAGGGAAGATATGGGGATTTGCCGAAGTATTATGATGCGGGAGAATGATCGAATTGCTAAGGAGATGCTGGGGAAGTTCAGATCGCAGGGAGAGTTGGTTGCGTGGGGCGTTTTGGATGGTGATACGGGGAGGTGGAGAGAGGGTTGTGTGCGGGGTAGGTGGGATTTCGAAGGCATTATTCCTCGCTTCTTCACACTTCCGAATTTGACGAAGAGGTAATATGGGGTCTATAAATGAGAAGCATGATTATGAGACGGCCAGAGAGGAGAAATAAATTGTCTGTTAATCATGCATTTGTTGCGGGACGAGCTATGCAAAGATGGACCAAACTAGTCTCCTGCCGCAAGCTAAGTATCTCATTCCAAGCAATATCGAGACTCAGCTGGTTACTAATACACAAGTACACGATCCGCTGTAACGAAGCACAAATCAACAGAGCCTACCTTATCAGAACTGCACCTCTGATCTACTCGCAAGTTTCATCACCACCTATTCGATACAGCGATGAACATCTCAGCGAATATTTCAGATACCATACACTCCGGCCTCGCCGTCTCAAATAAGCTCTTTGCCCTTGCCGAGAAAATCAGGCCCGCTACCGCGGAAGTCAACAAAGTCGCGGTAGAAATCTCACTTCTGACCTCCACGCTGCACAGTCTGCGCTCAGTGCGTATTGATTCAGAGGGATGCAGATACTCAATTGGCGCCACGACCATAGCGCAGAAAGTACTCGATCGATGTCAAGATCTGTTTAGGGAGCTGGACCGTGTCTTGATCGGATTGAAGCACGATGGTGTGAGAATGGAAGATTTGGTTCCCAAGGTGAAAGCAGAGTTTGAGAAGACCGGGATGAAGATTCTGTGGGCGACACTTGAGGCCTGCAGTATTACATTCCAATTGCTGCTGCATAACCTCTCCGTGGCAAAGAAGCCAACGGTAAGGAGGTACCTCACTTTTCCTTTTCTACCTAAGATAATCTCGCTAATCAACAAGCAGAGCATCAATGTATAGTATAGACGTCGAAGTAGAACAGCAGGAGCTCATCATACAGTCTCTGCGGACATCACGGCAGGGTATCATCACAATTCTGGAACAACTCGAACACGGGGACCCTGATCAAAATAGCCTCACATCAACAAAACCAACCAATAAACTCCGCAAGCCGAAACCACCCACCAAGCAAAGCCAGCCGCAAGAGTCCAATATCAAGAAAGAAAGAGCTTCCGATTGGGTCAAGAGACTCATTCGTGATGAGAGGACCAATGCACTGATTGCACTTGAGTTCTCACCGTCACCAAGGGTAAACAGTGAGGCATTTGAAGACTTGGCAAGAAAGAATGCGTCTGGTGCGGAGGGTAAAGTGGGTGTTGGAGTTGGAGAGCTGCAGGGTGATGGGCCGGACGATTTGCCAAGTAGTAGTGAGAGGATGGAATATGCACGAGGATGGCCTCGTATTTAGCGATCGTCAGGGCATTCCTGAGGTCCATGAATTTTGGTCAACTTCCGTTGCACCAGCTTTTGTGGTCTGCGCCTTACAGGGTATCCGATTCCGAATTACCTGCCAGAAACACACTTTTACAAGGAACAGCTGCTGAAGCGAGGCGCTAAAATTCTCGTGGTTGCCTATGCTCGCTATGATACAGGGCACATGCACTAACGTTGGGCCCTGTACGAAAGTGTGTTCCGAGTGGTAGATACGGGAATACTACGCTGCGGCTACAAGGGTGGACCAAGTTTTTGGAAATATCTGCGGCCCCTTCTCACGACATGAAATAAAATGTTGGCTGCACTGCTTTACAGCAGTAGCCAGAAAGTCTCTGGGATAATTGAAAGCTAATTCCAGTTTTTCTGTCGTCAAAATGACCACAGGAGGTGCCGCATGTCTGATCCTGTCAACTTTGCGTTGTGATTTTAACGAGGCGGTAGCGGCTTGTGTCCCCTTTTTTGTGAACTTCTCAACTGAAATTCTTATTTGGTTAATCTTAATCAAAATGCCTCTCTTTCTATCTTCTCTTCTGTGCAGAAGAAGCCAAGTTTCGTTTTCTTGTCAAGTCTGGACACATCTGATAGGATAGGCTGCATCTTCGCTTCATTGTTGGTAGTGGGGTTTACCCAGCGGCAAAGCAATGCAACGCTGATGGTAAAAATACCTTCCCCTTTTCATTTGTTATGACATCAGTCCTGCCTTTTTAACCTCGTGAAGCTCAAATCAACGTCAGCCAAGGCGGCTTAAATCCCATGTTGTGCTTCGCTGGTCTGTTGCTTCAATCTCGGATACTCAGAAAGGGCTTCTTCAATTCAGGCAGATGAGGCTTATGGCGTCCTCAACGTTCATTGCCAAACCAACAAGCTTTCAATGTTCAAATTTCACTGATTAGCTCGGCCCGTGATGTTTCTGTGTAATATAGGCTCAGCAATTCCCCGAGACAAATATTTCCTAAAAACGTCCATGCCTGCTGACACAAGAAAGAGTCTATACATCACACATTCATCAAAGCGTGAACAGTCATACCAATCTCGAAAATGCTTTTCCGAATAGCTACTTTGAGTATTTTTTCCCTTTTGTGGGTCAAGTCTAGTGCCACAAGAAACGTATCTTGCAGTGTATGGTACAACCACTCTTCGCTCGTAGGTCTGTAACTTACATCATTTGTAGTTGATTCAGGAAAAGTTTGCGAACGGTTACAATGCTTCCGGATCAATATCATTCCCTGGATTCAGGGTCAATGATAGCTATCCGGAATCAAACTGGACTTTCTCCAGGTATATCGCAGCCGACTACAGCGAGCCGCGCAACGAAAGCGAGGTATGGCAGACGATTGGAATGAAGACATCGTAAGATCGCCCTGCTTTTCAGAGTAATAGGAAGTCACTGATACGATATATCTCCAGACCAACGGTCAATCTTACAGATCCAAAAGAGCTCCCCTATACAGGGTGTTATATGGTGCTCATGACATCGGAAAAAAAGAACTTTGGGGATGGCCAAAAAGAAGATGGGTCGTGCAACTCTGTTTTGTCAGCAGATTGTATTAAAGATCTTATCACCCACGTCAACGACACCGCAGCTTCATATTCTGGGACGTCCGGCGGTACCAATTCCACCAAGCTCAACTGCTTTGACCTCATGAGTGGTCTCGTCAAAAACGAAAAGTCGAAGTGTTGGCAGCAATATCCCGCATGGTTCGATGACCAGTTCCTCCCCGAATACCCTGGCATCAGTTCCACCACCAATGCCACAGACAATCCAATCGTCAGCTGCCCCCCAGTTGGTGCTGGAGATATGGATACCTTCCATCTAGGATATAATCAAGCAGCCGGGCCGAACCGCTTTACCGACTACGACAGAGTTCTGAAAACCCCTCTCGCCGTGGTTCTGACCGCTTGGCTCAAGGATGATCATTCGCCATACATGGATGTCCGACGATGGGCCGACACCAGATTGATGTGTATTCCAGGAAACATTGCTTCGCCGGGTAGTCGCAACCTCACCGAAGCGCTGAAATCTGGCGGTATGACCACAACTCAAGGATGGAGTGGATGGATGATGAGCATTATCTTGGTGGGCTTCGCGCTTAGCACTTTCCTGTGACATTAAGGATTTAAGTGTTTTCTTTGTCTTGATTGGAATGTTGGTATAGCTGATTCCGACTTTCCGGGTTGTTAGAGGTTCTTTGGACCTACATTTCTGTGACTTGAGATTCAATTTCATACATAAAAACAAACCAAATAATTTAGCATCTTAGCTGTTCCAAAAATCTCTCACATGGGTGACTCTAATCAAGGCATTCTGAGCGCTGCAATTTTGTTTTGGGGAAGCTAGTCTCACGTCTCCTAAGCGCCGGTATTGAGAAATCCACTGCCACTGCTCGTCTCGACATGGCTCAAAGCAGATCTTAGCGAGCAAAGCGACATGTTGAAGTATGGTGAGGGACGGGCTGACACGAGAGTGATTTGCCTTGCGGCTAATGTCCCGACATCTGGTAGTCGCAATCTCACCGAAGTTGACCAGGCTCCTGGTAGGAGTGGAAATTTAGTTGGAATTGCAGTTCTAGGCTTCGCACTATGTATCTTGTTATTTTAGGACTGAGCTTTTGTACCTTCCTTTGATCTTGTCGTAGTATTTGCCTGTCTGTTTCCAGTCTCCCTAGTCCTGCGTGTCAAGCGTACATGCCGTTCGATAAACATTACATACAATTATGTAAAGACGGACGAGAAAATGCTTGTCATCTTGTCTGAAATCGACGAACTCAACTGTCATTGATTATTTTGGTCAAATAATCTCTCCCAGACTTCTCTAACGGTAGATTCTACCTTTCATTCCATAAAATCCAAGTTCAGCTTGTGTCACGTTTTGGTAATTGTCACATGGTTCATCTGGACGCTGTGTTACCTTACCAGTGGCATTTACCCAGACGTAAAGCAGTTGTAATGCAACGTGAACAGGCGAGCACGCTCTCATAATCGTAGTTTATGACATCAGTTTTTCCTATTTAACAACGCGAAGCTCAGCTCAACGTCAGCCAAGGTAAACTGACCCAAATGCATTCGAGTGTTCATCAACCGGTTGGTCGACTCGGATATGTGCTGAAGTTACGCAGAGTTGCCTTAAGGCAATATGACGATTATTGGTGTAGGATCTTTCATTACTTGGAGAATCAAGACGAGTAATAATGCTGGTGATGGTACTCGGTCTCAAAGCGTACCTCGCGTGTCTACATAACATTCCGTTGCTTCGCCTTTTTCTTCCGAAGCTTCACTTTGGAAGCACTGATTCATATTCAACGTCCTTGGTAATCTCGAATTCATGAAAATCGTCTCAATCTCGTTGATTGCGTCTGCCGTTTTGCTCCTAAGGGCTTTCGCGCAGTCAAATTCATCCAATGTATCCAATTCATCTAGCTCAACAAGCCCAACAGACCCTCTCCTCATGCCATTCGACTACTGTTCTGTATGAGTTCAGCTCCCCAACGTTTGGGTCGTACTAATTCCAGATTTCTAGCCAGCGGATAGAGACACCACCGGGTTCAACTCATCCGCCTCCATTTCCTATCCAGGGTATGTGGTCAACGAGAAATATCCCGTATGGACATGGACCAGATACATCGCCGAGAGATACTATCAAACATTAAACACTAGTTCTGTTTGGGAGGCAGTTGAGGTGAAAACAACGTAAGACCGGCACCCCTTCCCACTCTGGAACACCGTTAACTTGGATTTACCAGGCCATCTTTGAACCTTACAAATACAACTACCCTTCCATATACCGGTTGCTACATACCACTCCACGGTATTATTGACGAAAAGAAACACGCCTTGGACGATGGCACCTGTAGAAATGTGCTAGAACAAGAGTGTTTTGAAGAGCTCATGGGGAGATTAGATACCACAAAACTGAATATCCAGGCGTCGTATATAAGCAATAGCTCCTCCCAATTCAACTGCGACAACGTCAAGAGAGGTCTTGTCAAGACAGGAAAAGAAGACTGTCGCCACCTCTGGACTGTTCTTCTGTCCACAAACCCGCTTCCGGTCAGCACTCCCACAGTCAACTCGACGACAGATGCGCAAAGCTGCGATGATATCGGAAACAGGGATCATATCTCTCGCACGCAGTACTTTTTACGCTGGGGCAATATGTCAGGACGAAACTTCAAAGTTTACGATCAAGCATTAAGGAACCCATTTCCACTTATCATTGTGACTTGGCCCAAGCAAGATTACAGTCAGACCCCCGAATGGAATGTGGCGAACAATGTCATTGATACAAAGGTCATATGTATTCCAGCCAATGTCACAACACCTGGCAGTCGGAATATCACCGAAGCTTTGAAAAGCGCTGGTACTACAAGGGCATCGGGCTTGAGTGGAGCAATGTTTGGGGTTATGATTTTGAGTCTTCTTTGGGAATTGATGGTTTGAGCGTAATTTTTATTTTCTGGCCATCCAGCTTTTATTTAGTTGGAGATCTATTTTGGCGAATCCACTTGGGAGGAGTTTTTTGAAGCTGAGAGTACATAGAGGCCAGCGAATCAGAGTCATTGCACATTTCACTAACAATATCTTCAGTGGAATGTCGCGAGGTTGTTGACGATTCCTGTTGCAAAGTGGGTCCTAAGCGAGAAATCCTTTCAAGTACTTGATACATCAATGACTTCACAAGTTCACCCTCTGTGGAGATACATACATATGGGAATCATGCAGCTTATTTTTCATTGAAATTGTAACACAGATTCGGGAATAGCAAAAAGGTGAGTAAAACACTCAGAGTACGCATTTTTGATTCCTCCCCGTCGTTGCGCCCTCTTTCGAAGAATCCGCCTACTCCTCAAGCTCAACAAGAAGCAAAATCGGATTATCCCTCACAACCCGTTTCTTATACATCCGACCCAACCCCTTATTCATCTCATCCTCCAACATCCTCGCAAAGTTCACCGCCCCATCATAATGCACAAACGCCATCTTCTCCCACTTTTCCGCAACCTCATTCTCATTTGCCCGTCCATCCCCATCCTCCGTCTTCACAATTTCACCCACCAATCTCGGCTCAGCGCCGTACTTTGGCCCCAGATCAGAGATAAACGCATCCATGTATTTCTGATACGTCGGGAACATCCCTCCGTGAAAAGAAAGGAAGTTGAACATCGTTACGGGCCCGGCGTACTTGGCTGAGAAGTCGGCGAAGAAGGTGCGGAGAGATGGCGTGAGTGAGAACTCGACTTCTTCTTCATTGGGGTCGGGTGGTGAGGATGGGGTGAGCGGGAAAGGTGGGACTGGTTCTTTCGTGCGGTGAAGGAGCATTGCGTTGCGTTCGGCGTAGTTTGTAGACCAGTGGTCTTCGATGTCGACCGTAAAAGATAAAGTTCTAGTTGAGATCTCGGTGATGGATGGCGGGACTGGGGTTGAGGAACCGGGAAGGATAGTCACGAGATTGAAGAGAGGGGTATTGCTGGTGGGATCGTTTTGGAGTGTAGATGAGAGATGAGAGGTGGAGACAAAGTAATGTGCTCTGGCGACTGTAAGGGGCTTGGGTGTGCCCTTTCAGAGAGATTGAATTATTAATGCTTCACTTGCATCTGGGATAGAAAACAGGTGGACTGTATGTGGTGCCATGTTGGATGAATGGAATTCCAATCGGAATCAATTTCTGTATTTAAGAGTCTGTGTAGCTGCAAGTGTTGATTTGGAAGCTTGTAAAATAATTGAGGTTACTTTCCACTGCTATATAGTCAGTAGGATGTATATATCCTGACGATGATGTTCGGAGTTAATGGATGCTGGCTGCTTAAGCGAGCGGAGTTCCACTTTTAGTGTAATCAAACAAGTTCGAAAATAACCCGTTCAACGCTCATCTCAATATATCTAATGAGTCACACCGAGTGTCCAAGAGTAAACCTGATGCTGTCAGACGGCATAGTAAGCCTTTCGTGTGGTGCTAAGCTCCGATTCCGAATAATCAACAAGGAACAGATCGACCAATCTCAACGCAACCATTTCCTTTCTGAAAACTTATCAACCACTGCCGTAGGCGTTCTCCAATGCCCCCATTCAATGATATAATTCAAATTTGAGGAATCTAGTGACTTTCCAGTCTCGTCACAGTCTGCGAGAAAATCTGCTCTTTCTTCCTCATGTCTTCAGAATTATCCCTGTCCTTCAAGACTTCGTCCATCTGCTCAAGCGTCTTGCCGTTGGTTTCTGGAACAAATAAGTATGTCCATACGAATGAGCCTAAACAGAAGATGGCGAAGAAAACATAGGCACCGAAGCCAGTGTTTTGAACAAGAGGAGGTGTCACAAGGCCCTGTTATCTTAGTATTTTCTCTGCCAAGCGTGACATAGGGCTGGTCTGACTTACAATGATGAAGTTGTTCAGCCAGTCTATATCATTATAAGTCAGCATAAATTAAATCGCTATTGCGGATTGTGTCACTCACTTGAACATGTGGAAATAGCAACACCCTTGGCTCTCAGCGATGAAGGAAATATCTCGGCAGGCATGGCCCACGGCACTGGACCCCATGACGCACCGAATGAAACCATATAAAATAGCAGAAAGGCTACACTGATCCATCCTTCCGGGCGATGAGATGGCCAATCTTTCGAGAAGAGGCCTACGAGTATCGATATAGTAAAGTGTGAGATGAACATCCCCAGACTTCCCCACAGGAGAATGGATTTGCGCCCGAAGCGGTCAAGTGTCCAGAGACTTGAAATGACGCCGATTAGTTGAGTGATGTTGAGAACTCCAGACATGATGAGTTGCATTGAGTAGTCGAGACCCATTGTTCTACAAAGTCGTTAGTATTAAACTGAGAGACATGAGCCATGAGTACTTGAAGAGAGTTGGAGAGTAGTAGATCAAAGCATTGATCCCAACAAACTGTTGGAAGAACATGAGTCCTGCTCCAATATGTGTCCGCCGCCAACATCCTGGTTTCAAGCAGTCAGTCCAAGATACAATCTCAAGTTTCAGCCGATTAATCTTCGTCTTCGTCACAAGCTCAGGATGTCGTTCTTCAAGGACTTGCTTCTGGAAAGTCGACTCGGCAATGATTTCCATCCACTCTCGTCGGACTCTTGGATCGGTATTCGGCAGCATTCTCAATGTTGACAGCACTGCTAAAGCTTCTTGTTCTCTTCCCTTTGACGCGAGCCATCTAGGCGAAAAGGGCAGGAAAAAGAAAGCGCCAAGTCCAAGCAGCAAGCCAGGAATTATTTGGATCGCAAACGGAAGTTGCCAGGATGGGTTTCCAGGGATTTCCCTTGTACCATATGTGATCCAGAACGATATGACGATGCCGAATACGATACTGAACTCTTCAAAGACGAGAAGGGACCCGCGGATTTCAGGAGGTGAGATCTCGGAGATATAGAGTGGAACGACCATACTGAGCCTGATCAACCCAATTAGTCGCAGGTAGCCCCACGTTCTGACAACAACGACCTACATTCCAATTCCAACACCGCCAATGAATCGCGCTGCTACGAGCATCGGATAGTTTACTGATGCTGTTTGAAGACTTGATCCAAGTGTGAAAAGGATGACTGCAACGATGATCGAGTACCGACGCGAGATTTTGTCCGCAATCCAGCCCTGGTTCAATGCGCCTGTATTTTTCATTAACCTTGAAATACAGCGATTGACGTCTATGAGAATTTGGCACCTACCAAGCAAAGCTCCAAGCTCAATCATCCCAGTCATCAAGCCCTTGTAGAATCCGCCGCCCGCCGCAGTCTCAGAAACCTCGGGGAATCTTGCTATGAACTGTGGCATAACTAGAGTGACTGATATGACGCCTTGGCTTGATGTTGTTGTCAGTGGTGGCTAGTAAACAAATGCTAGTTGAACTTACTCGTAGCCAAAGAGCATTCCGCCGATGGCTGAGAATGCGGCACACAGGACAACATATCTAGACGAAATAATTCCTTTGAAACCTATGGATATTGTCAGCACCGGGTTTGGACAGACGGGGACACATTTATGTACCTGATGGGCCATAAGGCTCTAGCACAGCTGGAACTGTGGTTGCCGTTTGTATCTGCTGGATATCTGCGCTCTTCTTATCTGAATGCTGGGCATCCATATTTGAAGCCATGATGACCCTGTATTGAAGTTAGACTGGTTGAGTCATCGAGAGTATCAAAGCTCAACGGAAATATGCGATTGTTTCGAAGATTGGAACCGAGTGAGATCTCCGGTCACACTCAGCACGCTGTTAACTTAGGACTGATCAACGTCAATGGACGGTCTGTGCAAGGACGGCGCGGGGTAGATAGAACGAATCAACTTACTCTGATAAGCGTGAAGGTAGGTAGATGTGAGGTTCCAGTGAGGTATGGAGAAATGACTTCAGTGTATCACTCAAATACCAGAGCCAGTTTGACGGTGTCACCTTGCGGATTACACTTGTTGCACTCGAACTTTGGAGCGTTTAAACGAGGCCGTTATATCATGTATTGAAGAAAGAAGCGTGATTGTAGTCTATGGCAAATGTGATAGGTTTAATAGACAGGTTTGAGATTTGTGAGTTGAGAAATATTGAGGTGTTGAGAGGAGCAAACCTGGAAGGGCACATAAGTCGTCTCTGGCGATGTGAAGCAGGCACGACTGATATCAGCGCACCTTCTGGAGATGTAACATTGAGCCAATGTGTTTCCCTGTACTAGTTTCGACTTCATCTTCTTGCCCGTGTTCTTGCTAAACCGATTCGAATTCTAGGTAGCGATCAGCTATGTCCCATATTACGTTCGCTTATTGTCATTCGATATCCAGCTCAAAGTCTTCGAAAGATACTGCCAAGCTCTCATCTTGCTGTTTCACATTGACACCCGGCCTCGCAGCAAACACTCCAACCCAACATTCCTGCTCCTCAGCTCCTCCAAAAGCCCACGTGACCTCACGAATCGGCACACTCTTCCCTCCATCCACAACATAAATCCACAGCGCACCATGCACCTTCCTGAACTCAAGCATGAGCTCATTCTTCTTCTCTCCTTTCAAGCCTGTCTGCAAGAGACTCATATCCGCACCTCTGTCGGCCGACACCGTGCTGATGAATGGCTCTCCCTGGAAAAACTCGATCTGACTTTTGATCCATTTTCTCGTCCCGTCTGGTTGTGGAAGGACCATGATGAGGCCGCCTTGATCGTATAGAGCTGTCCAGTTTGCTGTGACAGTGACGCGCATGCGTTGGAATGATGACAGTGTGACTTTCTTGTAGAGGATGGGAGCATTGAAGCGAGAGACTTCTGGGGGGCCAATTTTCTTCCAGATGTCGGTTTTGGGCTTGGTTGTGATTTGGAAGGAGGTTGTAGTTGATGCAGGAGGGCTTTCGCTGCTATTTGCGAAGTGGAAGGGAAGTTGAGACATGGCTGGCGGAAGTGGAATGTGTAGTCTAGCGATCTGGTGATGTTGTGAGTGAGGCGAAGACTTGTAGATAAAGTAAAAGGTTGAGAGACTAGATGAGTTTTAGATATTATGACGAGATGGAAAGAACAGAATGATCAGATTTATGGTTGTTTTTAACTCCCTTACATAAACACAAGCTTCGCTAGTGAAGCTAGTCAGGCCAATCAGATAGATCCTTCACTTGCTCGGCTTGAACCCGAGCTTGGCTGCTTTGCTTACAAATCCTGCAAGAGAGGACAACATAGTTGCTTTTTTATTGACCATTTGTGCTTTCTTCATGTAAGAAAAGTAATAATTCTCAATCGTCTGTTAAGTCTCTTCGAAAGTATATTTGTCAAGCTCGGCTAAATACCCCGCCCCCTTTTCGCCGTTGAAGCAACCGCCCTGGGATCAAACCCTACGGTCAGTACATGAAGCTAAACCAACTAAACCGAAATATTAACCTCAAAATCCCACCCAATTAATCACCAACTCGTTCGCTAGCGAGAGCCCATCTCACTATTCCGTCCCAGCCAATGCATACAACTCCCTCCTCCTCCTCCCCCCATCACAACTCGCAAACTTCCACCACCCCGGATGCAACAACCTCGCAACACCCATCACCACCCACCTCACCAGCCCCGGAATCGGCGGCCAATCCCTCCACAGCCCCTCCTCAAACTCTCCATCAAAATTAAACAGAAAGAAAGGCAGAACGTCCGTCATGCCCGCTTCTCGGATCTTGTCACCTTCTCGCTTGTCGAATTCTGCTTGCGTGGCTTTCTCTTTTGGACTCCCTGCTGCTGGGGTGTTGGGGTGAGTTGAGAGGTTGGCGATGGTGGTAATTTCGGAGCGCATGTGGGTTTCGAAGGGGGTTTGGAAGGAGGACATTAGTTCGAGGAGTTTGGGGCCGGAGAAGGCGGTGGGTGAGGGGAGGTTGGTGAGGTATTCTTGGAAGTTGGCAAGGCCGGGCATGAAGGCATCTGAGAGATGATTCAGCTTACTTCTCTCACATGGAGGTGAATGAATTTTGCGGACCATGCTCTTTATGTGATTCCAAAAAGATCGTCTTGTCATCCAGAAGCGCTTCTGTTCTCGGAAACAAGCTGACATCTTCATTGTCGGCATGAAACTTCACGAACTTATGCCATGCCAAACAGTAGCCGATAAAGTCAGCTTTTTCGGGCTCGGCGACATGTGGAGCTTGGTGGTAGATGGGGTTGTATCCTCTGAATATGGAGTTGTGGACCATACACATGTGACTTGCGCCAGCGGTAAAGAGGTCATGCTAGAAAAGATCGTGAATATCGAGGTTCAGTTCTTGATGAGAAGATGTGTGCACACCTTTTTAGTTAAAAAGATAGGAGTTGGGATTAACGCGAGCGGGGTATCTGCCCATGGTTTCATCGAAGTCGTGTTGGCTGCCATCGTCGAGGAGGAATAGAGTTATTGACTATGAGGTGCGGGAAACAGCCTGACTAGTACATTGATGTGAGCCTCGAGGAATCAGCGTTGAACTGACAAATTATTGAAAGCATTGCAGAATACCTGTGAAGTTGATCTGTACCGCTTTTAGTGCTTACAAGCTTTGTCAAGTCCTCCTTTTCTTATTTGCAGAGACTACACTTGGCGAAGCCAAGACCTCCATGGAAGTCGGTATTCGGGGAGAGAACGACGTCCGAATGATATCGCTTCAAGTCAATGATGACCCATTCCTATTTTATTGTTGATCAGATGATTCTGAGAGAGCAATTCAAGGATGATGTTAATGTTGGGCTACTGCTCTTTATAATCTTTTCGGCGTCTGTACTTGGTTGGACTTGAACCACTGATAGGCTTTGATGCGTTGTGGCTGCAGGGCTGAAATGGTAGACTTGGCGACCACAACCAATTGTCACACTGGTCCTCCGAACTGTAAACCTTGTGTCTTGAAGAATTATTTATTATTCTATAGGTAACGCCTTTAAACAATAAAATCATAGAGCAAATCAATGCAATCATCACTTGGCTTTTGGTACAGGATCTCCCTCCTCAAGCACAGTACTTAATTGATTCTTCTCTCCCTTCAACCACTTCTGTATCGCTGCATTATCATCGCCGGTTTTAGCCGTCAGGATTCTTGGAGGAAGAACATGCGTGCATTCAGTTAGAGAGTTGATGTTGTTTACTCCGAGCAGTGAGAGGCGGACGTATTCTCTCGCGTAATCCTGTACATCTATTAGCAGCCACTTCAAGGAAGAATAAACTTGAGAAGCACAACTAACAAGAAAGGTTTCAGATGACCAGTTAAATAAAATAGCACTCACAGTATTCCAATGTTCCTGATCATTAGTAAACTGCCCCCACTCATCAGAAGCCTTCGGATGCGCCGCAATCTTCACATCGCTCGGAAAGCGAAACACCCTCTTCGGCGCCGCGCCCGTCGTCTGTCCATAAAACGCCACATCCCAAATCCCAGGCGTCGAGTCCTGAGGATCTTTCGCTCTCTTCGGATCCACGAAATTCTGCTGACTTGTCGTGTGTGCGCCTAGCAGAGCAACCAACCCATGAGCCCTGATAGTTTTGTTCTCAAACAAGTTGATCAGATCTTCGGCCTCGCCATGTACATCTGGCAGGAGTCCGTTGATTGATGGCTTACTGCTGTCTGTCCTTCCGACGAAAGTTCTGATTCGAGGACCGAGTGGGCAGACGACTGTAGCGACGTTGGCGCCCATCTGGATCAGGTCCGCCATTCCGACTCCGAACTTGGAGTATTCGGCATACCATTTCTGCATCTTGACCGCAATATCCTGCAACCCATTATTTTCGCCGCGAGTGAGCTCTTCTCCCGATAAAATGATACTTCCATCCGCACCACCAAAGTCCTCCGTGTATTTACTCCACGTCCCCGCATCATGGAAACCCAGCCGCACAGCAAATCGTGCCCATTTATTACAGCGGCCACTCCTACCCTTGAATTTCTTCTCCATCTCCAAAGCAATATGTCGCCAGATACAACAAGTATCTGCTTTGCACTGTGGCGTTTTCTTCCCTGGTAATGGACCCTTCCATTCCGTAAGACCTTGTCCGTCAATACTTCCAGTGAGAATTCCCCATACGGCCCAGCCGACAGGAGTTGTTGGACCGCCTTTTTCGGGGACGAGATCGCCGATTAGCTCGATGGAATCTTCTGGGGAGTCTTGTCGCGTGTGTAGGCGGGTGTTGAGTTGTGAGAGGGTGGAACTCATGCCTGGCCAGGCGAGGACGTTGGAGATGAGGAGAGGTGTGAGGAGGGGGAGGAGTGAGAGTTTCATGTTGGAGGTCAAGAAGAAAATATCAATTTGGATATGTAACGGAACTTCAAGCAGAATTCCAAAAATACGGGGTTGAAGTCATAGATTTGTGAGAGCCAGTTCAGAAGTGCATACAGAGAAGGGAGGAGTTTCGATGACTTTGGTGTGAAAAATCCCGAATGCAAATTGTCTGACAAGCAGTGGATAACTCACGCTCATAAGGATAATACTCAACCATCAAGGGAGGCCCCGAATGACCTGACAGGCGACAACCACCGCCAATGTCCGAGGTCAAAAAAAACTTGTTAAGCTTGATCCATCCAAGACTGCTTGGAGACTTGGACATTCGCCCAGAAATCAATAAAGCCATGTGCAGCCCCTTGCAAAGCTTGCGAAAGACCCATGTCTCCTCTTCCAGAACCCCATCGGCCTGAAGCTGAACACAAACGGAAATCCCGAATTCCCCAAAAGGATTCGTATAGCACTCGCCAAGTACACATCCGAGGACCTAACGCACAGAACGGACAAAGATACATATTAAAGAAATCCCAGCCCCAGATCCTGACTTCGGGCATGATATCACGATCTGGACCCTTTTCGGATTGAAGAATGCTGGGCCGAGCGATTCAGAGCCGATACCGTGCATGTATTAACTGACCTGACCGCCTCTTGTGACGTGTTGTTCTATTCTGAAAGGATCGAGCGCGGCTGAAAAAGAAGGATGACATCCGATCCCTCGCTCGAGGGCTCGAACGACATGGCTGGTGCCAAGCATTTAGAGAGAGCACCACCAGCTTGAGGCTCACATGATCACGACTGATAGCTGCGGCAGGAACAGGGACTCTTGCTGGACTATGACAAGAACAATAACAAGGAATCTAGCCCTAAATGGATTCAGGGCGTGTTTGTTTGGAGGAGCGAGGAGAGGATGTCCCCTGTTGAAATCTCTTCAATCATGACCATGGCGGAGTAGCTTATTGGATATGTTCCTGATTAGGCCATATGGGCGCTGGAGCTGGACCCCGGGGCAGGGCGACCTAACCGCTTTTGCAACGAGGACGGGACGGGACAGGGCATGACATTCGCTTGGCTTGGATGGGACCTCTGGTGGTGAACAATTTACTTCTACTACTACTGAACAGGAGAAAATTTATCGGAGAAATCTGGAGAAATTGGTCAAGTGTACTGTTAATTGAGAATTTGAGAGTCTTGAAAGTCGTGATGCATAGGTAAATAAGAAGTTCGTAAATTCATATTGGTATCATTACAGAGTAAACATTACCCATTTTTCATGCGTTCGCCAGTGCTCCCCAAAAAATATTATCCAGATCCTCTATGGTGGTGCGTGCAACCAAAATAAACTCCCCAACTAGGCCGAATACGAAACGCCACGCCTAGCCTTACTCTTGCTCAACGGCGTCGATTCCACTTCTGGCTCTGGAGCAGCCTCCCTCACCTTCACCGGTGTGCGGTGCCAGTAATCCTCCAGCGCCTGATCAACCTTGTCCACTATCGAGTATGCGTCCATGTTCGAGAACCAATCGCCCTTCGCCCTGACGCTGGCCTCTGAGAACTCGCCCGTGCCCCAGGTCTGGACGCTGTTGAACTCGCCGGTCTGGATGGGTTTTGCCCGGTACTGCGCCTCCATGGGATCGATGAACTTGGTCGTCTCGGTGTAGTTGAAGTCGTTGAGCGAGGTCACGTTGAAGGCAGCCATCATCTCGTGGTCCTCGTGGATCAGGTTGTGGCAGTGGAACATGTAGACTCCATCCCACGGTGCGTATCTTGCCAGGACGGTGACCTTCTCGTTTGGTCCCAGCCAGACTACATCCTTCAGGCCGGCAGCTTCGTAAGGAAGGACGCCACGTTTCTTGCCGCCACTTCGGGACATGACTTGGAAGTCGACGAGGTGGATGTGAATGGGATGACTCCAGCCGCCGCTCTTGTTCTCGAGTTGCCAGATCTCGATGGCACCACGTTGAGGCTTGGCCATGATTCGGTTGTTGACTTGAGCCCAGGTCACTCCGTTGATGTTCCATTGGCCACCGCTTCGTTCAAAGGTGAAGCTGCGGTCAATACCAGATTTCGGAGGAGGGTAAGGAACGGTGCGGAGGCGTGAGGGGATAACGCCATTGCCTACGACAGGGCCAGGAGCCATTGACTTTGCTACCACGAATTCTGATATAGTCAGTACTTTGTAGATCTCAAAGAGAATGTAGACTTACGCATTACACGATCCGTGGCCGTGAAGTCAGAATCCGCTGAGAATCCCTTGTCGTTTCGAACAGTTATTTTCTTCCCAGCATAAGCGGCGAAGTCGATAACAATCTCCCATCTCTCTGCCATGGAAATGTACAGATCCTTTGCCACCACAGGCCGCTCAAGTAGTCCGGCATCCGAAGCGATAACAGTAAATGGGAGTTTCTTTCCAGCAGCAGTGGACTCCTCAAGGTACAGCAAGAAGCTGCGACTGATACCAGTATTGCACCATCGGAAGCGATACTTTCTTGGTTCGACGTTCAAGAATGGCCATGGCTGGCCATTGACGTGGATCACATCTCCGTATACGCTGGTCGTTTCTCCATTCTTCTCTGGGTCCCATAAGGAAAAGTCTTTGTTGTATCGTTTTGATGCAAGAGCTAGTGGGATATCGTATTTTCCTTCTGGAAGTCCGAGTGCTCGCTCCTCGGGGTCGTGCAGGATGTAAAAGCCAGCTTGGCCGAAGTAAGCATTCTCGGCAGTGTGGTCGATCGCGTGGTCGTGATACCACAGTGTTCTCGCATTCTGGGAGTTGGGATAGTAGTAGTCCTTGTACTGTCCGACACCAGTGGTGTCCTCAGCCCATCCATCGAAAGGAGCTCGTGAATAGGAGCCGTGAAGATGTACTGAGTTGGGGAGATCACCATGGTTGATGAATCGGACAATGGCCTCTACACCCTTCTCCATCATGAAGGTTGGTCCGGGAACCAGTCCATCGTAGCCGACAAGACGAGTCTTCTTCCCAGGATATACTTCCATTTGCAGTGGCTTGATATCAATCTCATAGTATTGGATTGGCTTCCCAGTGTGGTTGTTTGTCAGAATTCTACGAGATCAATATTAGCGAAATTCTTAATTTGTTCTGACAGATGAGGTGCCTTACGCTTTTGGTTGTTTGATGGGAGCGATAGGAACAGGCACGCTATAGAAGTTCTTGTATTCAGGGCTGTCCCATCCCGCAAGAACGGACCCTAAGCTGGCACCCAGCAGGGTCAAAATCGAGAGTTTGCCCATTGCGATGATCTGAGGTGATTTGAGATGATATCAGCCTAGGGTTTGTAGATTTAGGGCTGATTTTGAAAAAGATGAATTGAAGAATGAGTGACATGGCGAAGTGGAGGATTTCATGATAATATATCATCCGAGGCACTCATCAAGTGGGCCACTCCATGATCCGACACCAGAGATCTAGAGCAGCTGTCATGTTGTAGGGCTGACAATACCAGCTCGTTCGCTTAGCAGCCAAGCAGGATTCTTGCTGGCAGTCGCTCGTGTTCGAAAGGAATTCAATATCTTCAGGAACAATCATGAGCATCATGCCAATGCTCGGCTGTGCTACGGAGAGATCCAGAGTCAGACAGGTCTCACAGTCACGTTTTGCTGCAGCGGCAGATCGGCGACCCTTCAACTCCGACTTTGTGGGGCACAGTGGGGCGTCCCCCCAGCAGCCGAGCCAGACGAGCCAGCCTTATTTCTATTCTGGACGCTTCTGGGTTGACACGGGAGGAAGCGAGAGAAAATCGATGGGCTGGAATCAGTGGACGCGCCTATACTGGCCGCCAGCGGACGTGGAGACATCCTCAGCTTGGGGCCGGGATGAAAGGCTTTGCTGGCTGGACATCCTTCAACCTCGTTCCAGGCGTAAGAAATTCTCCAGCATGCTGGGTTTATGTTTCAAACCTTAAAACCTTCAACGGAGCTTCCTCACCAGTCCCAAGTTTCTGGATCCGAACCAGGGTATCATATCGGGCTTGGGCTATCTCGTATTTGACCTGTCCGATATCTAGCTAAGCAACTTTCATCCCCTTTGGGCCCCTTTGGGCTTTGGCTGCTCTTCTTCTGTCATTCTAGCCCCAGCCTATAACCCGTTCTCTCCGCAACGAGCCTCGGAGAACGCGGTGAAAGTGTCATTCACTGCATTATGCGATCCTATAGAGTTTTGGTTTTGAGAGGTCTCCTTCGCATCTGGGCAGCGAGACTTAATCTCTCTTAACACTTCATTTATATTCGTCGTGGATGACATCCTCCTACAACGAGACATCTCGCGGTAGACGCAAATGTGCTCTTCAGAGTGATGAGCTGCTTCCATTAAATCTCCACGTCCTGGTCATGTGCCTTCGTTCGTTTCATTCTCAGCTTAAGGTATCCAAAAATGGACGAACTCAAGCGGGGCTAACATAGCGCATTGGCTCCTCGCTTGCTTGAACCATGTTTGTAAACAACGTCTTTCTCCACTTTGCTTACCAGGCGAGCGATGTTCTCGAGAAAGTGAGAATGGCAAGGTGTAGACAATCTGATGACTGATAGATGCAAGGAACTTTAGCGCATTGCTGTGCAGCCATGACGGACTTGTCAATGTGTGTCGGTTCCTTCTCCTGATAATCGTACATTTACAAGCCAAGGCGAACATCCCTCGCTCCAACAATCCAAGCACCAATACAGTCCTCATGACATACCATCATCTTCATTTGAAGTATCTGATATCACCCTCCCTCCCCTCCGCACAGGCGTCAATTCCATGATTGCTCCATCGACACTCTCATCACTACCATCAACCTCCAAAATCCTCTGCCGTGACCTATACGCAGTCTGAACGACACGTCTTAGATATGGATCGTGGAGGTAATGGATATAACCAGTCGCATATGGATGGTATGGTCGTCGTGGTATTTGATGGACAGGGAGGATGGTGGAAGTATTGAGGATGTCTGAGGTGAGTGAGGGAGAGATTAGCCGAGGTATTGCCGAGAGGAGGCTGGGAAGCATATTGTGTGGATTGGATTGAACGAACTTGTTGATAGAGCTTTCAAGCTGTGGTAGGCAATGATGACTCCTGCTATGGATAGACCGAGACTGAGGAATGCAAGGATGATGGTGATGATGTCTGTTGTTTGGGAGGCTGGTGGGGTTAGCGGGGTACCATCCGGTAGAGAGAGGAAGCAGCAGGGCTTACCCATCTTTAAGTCAATGGCGGTGGTTCAGTGAGAAGTGTTATTCATGGTAGAAGACAGCCTGGTACTGGATATTTTCCAAACCGTATCTTGGCTTGCGGAGGCCCATGGCATATATATCTCTTGCAGTCGGCATAGGGGAAAGCAACAACGCCTCGAATTGCCATCGTACTTTCGTAGACCACAGTGTTGAGCAGGAATCACGACGATTCAATCACGTACCTGGGTGTTGATACTCTTCTCGCGCAGCCAATAAACTCGCTTCACGGTTACGGGAAACGCCTCACATGCCGCCATGTACCGAAACTACGAAAGTACGAGTGGGCACACTCAACAATCCCTGATGCTGGTTGGCTGTACCCAATCCTGTGAAACAATCTTCGGATCCGCACCTTGCATAAGTCAGAGTGCCTGTGGAATTCTTTTCGAGGAGTCTCACAGAAGGGTGGGACAGTACTTTCGTGGTTTGATTCAGCACTGGCTCATGAGGTCTGTGGCTGGACCGCAGCGCTCTCGCTTAGTTCAATCCCTCCTCCTGATTGATTGACACGCCTTGCCTTGCAGATATGTACTTTCGTAGTGCTATGTTGTCCCACAAACGAAGCCAATAAGCTTGACTTGAGTTCATGCAGGTCTCAAGCAGTTGTGCTGGCTCTTGGCTACGCCTGACCGTGGTGAAGCTGAAGCAGCCAGTTATATCGTAGAAGTACTTTCGTAGTGTCCATGGCTGGAGGTGCGCCTATGAGTTCATCGCAATTTCTGGCAGCCTTGCACCTGCCAACTTCGTTCTGTTACCTAAACTACTGCACCGACTTTGGCTAGGCCGGGCGAGACCAGTTTGGTTGTCGGTGTGTTGTGCAACTTGCTCCTTCTTCATAAATACAGAGCATTTCCGCCCTCTGTCCGAACTTCATTCTCGCTCATCACTGAAAGCACACTCACCGTTACTCTTCTTGACTGTCGACGAGCTTCAAACCATGGACCAAATGTTGAACTTGTCGGTACCTGCATCCCAAACCGCACCCACACCCTCAGCCTCGTCGCTTTTCCCTCCTCAACCTCTATCGATGGCCTTGCATGCTATCAATTCTTCTTCTGCTATTCACACGCGGTCGCTACCATCCCGCAATTTCACCCCCAAAGACTGGGATACCCACAAGACAGAAATATCTACCCTTTACCAGAAGACTACGTTGCGTCAGATCCGAGAACTCATCAGCAACAAGTACGGCCTTGAAGCATCGTAAGTCGTTAAGCCACCCACTGCTTCGCTACTCAAACATAGAACTAACAGGTATCTAGGGACAAACAATACAAAGACCGATTCAAGAAATGGAATTTGAGCAAAAATATCAAGGAAAAACAATGGCTTGCAATCCAAAGGAAGAAGACTGAACGCGACAGGGTTGGAAAGTCTTCATCGGTACGAGTCCAAGGTAAACACATATCGGAAGCTAGACTTGAGCGGTACTTCCATGACAACCCCGGACTTCTCAACAACGTCAGTGTGTCAGTTGAGGATAAGAATGGAATGGCGGGTTTGTCTACCTTCTTACCTGGAAATTTTAAGATCTAGACTGACCATATTATCAATGCAAAGCAACACCAAAAGACATACAAGTCTTCACACCCTCAGACAACCGAACTTGCACGTCTGTTGTAGCTTCAAGCCCACCAAGCAGAATCCAGGTCATCATCAAGACGCCTGATGACATACATCAAAGCCACTTCGCAGACATGATTGACATAGACGCCGCGGAAGACTTGTATTCTGCTAGTCCGCCTAGAGCGCGTTCCCCTGGAACCATTCCCTCAAGAATTCTCGGTAACGACATGCGAGAGTTGTCGTTCAATCCTCCAGAGGACACAGAACCCGCGGGAGATGTATACTCTGCCAGTCCTGCACGAATTTCGGCGTCTGGAGCAGCTACCTCTGAAGATCCTGATACACCTATGCCAGACTCGTCGTCAGATATCCGAATGTCTCCACCGCCATCACCTGCTTTGTCAATCTCCAGTCTCGTAGAACTCAGCAAGTACAGAGGAGAAGATCCAGCTCCTATTTTCGAAGACATCGAGGTCCCCGTTCTTCCTCAGCCGTTCTTTGACTCAACACACTGGCCCCAGAGCTTCTACACAGACTCAGTCGTTGACTTGATGGGCTCCAAAGAGGAGGCAAGCAAGTGGCAGTTGCAAAAAAATCCCATGGGCAAGCGATATCGACAGGAAGAAGAACGTACGCTCTGGGTAGAGATAGATCTAAAGACCTCCGAGTTCGAAGGTTACAATCCAGAGGTTGAGACTGCCTTGTTCGCACTATATAACTTACTTGTCCACCAAGGGAGGTACAAGATGGCGGAAAGTATCATTCGAAGGGTTGTGTCTGAATACACTGTGGAAGACAATGAGAATGTCACAAAACTTCGTGCACGAAGTCTTCTAGCTCAGATACTGAGCTACCAAGGTTTCCATCGCAATGCCATGAAGATTCACCAACAAGTCCTTCATTATCAAGAGAAACTCCTTGGATCTGCACATCCAGACACATTGAGCAACAAGCACCGGCTAGCATGGACACTTTACAACTTGGGACAATACAAGAAAGCCGAAAGGCTGGGGAAAGAAGTGATAGAAATCAGTACACGAGTCTTTGGCGCCGAGCATCCTAATACGCTAGCGTCAATCAGTAACCTGGCATTAGCATACAAGAGGCAAGGCCTTTGGGGCGAGGCTGAGAAGTTGGAGCTGCGGTTGCTTGAAACTGACAAGATGTTGTGGGGCAGTGGCCATCCTGAGACGCTCACGCACATGTCGAATTTGGCAGGCACGTACGCAGAGCAGGGCCGCTGGAAAGACGCTACAGAGCTCGGAGCAGAAGCATTGGAGATACGCAGGGGGGTGCTAGGCGAGGAACATCCGAATACCGTTGCCAGCATGCACGATTTGGCGAGGACATATTATGGTCTAGGTCACTGGGATAAAGCCGAGGAGCTGCAAGTGGAAACATTGCGACTGAGCAGGAAGGTGCGGGGGAAAGAGCATCCCGACACGCTAATTCACATGCACAATCTCGCAGTCATGCGGCAACGCCAAGACCGCCTGGAAGAGGCCGAGAACATGTTAGAACAAGCACTCGAGATGCAGAGGAGAGTGCTAGGGGAGGAGGACCCAGACAAACTGAGTACCATGCGCGTTTTGGCATCGGTGTTTTGCGATCAAGGTCGCTGGGACGATGCCGAGAAGCTTGGGAAGGAAGTTTTGCATTCGACGGAGAACTGGTTTGGCGAAGACCATCCTAGCACATTGGCTACGAAAAACAACTTAGCTCTAACATACGTCAGCCAAGGTCGCTTTAGCGAGGCCGCTGAGCTGGAAGTCGAAGTGTGGGAGATAAAGAAGAGGTTGTACGGCGAGCAGCATCCAGAAACCATCATTAGTATGAACAATCTTGCGTATACGTGGAAGGACCTGGGGCGAGGCGGGGAAGCTGTGCTGTTGATGGAAGACTGTGTACGGCTGTGTCAGGAAGTCATCGGTGCTGAGCATCCAGATACGATTGGCAGTATGTATGGTCTTGCTTGTTGGCGGAGGGATCAGGGTCGAGATAATGACGCTGTTGAGTTGATGACAAAGTGTGTGGAGTTAAATAGTAGGGTTCTCGGCGCTGATCATAAGGACACTCTATTAAGCATGCACGAGCTCGCGATCATGTGGAAGAACCAAGGTCAGGTGGATGAGGGTATTGACTTAATGACGAAGTGCGTGGACTTGCGAACCAGAGTACTTGGTGCTGAGCATCAGAATACCCTTCATAGCATGCACGTGCTTGCGATTATGTGGAAGGATCATGGTCGAGATGATGAGGCTGTTGAGTTGATGACGAAGTGTGTGGAGGTTTTGACCAAAGTCTTCGGTACCGAGCATAAGGGCACAAAAGCCTGTTTCGCATGGCTGAATTTCTGGGAACAAGAAAAGCTCTGTGGCGCGGATGATTGGCAGGAAGAAGATGAGGAGATGAGCGACGGAGAATATAATGACGATGAGGGGGATAGCATGGAAGAGAGCGCTGATGAGGAAATTGGACTGGAGGGAAGGGCAACTGATAGGATCCCTTGTGATGACCTTGGATAATGATGAGTATGTTTCGCTGTTGATTTTGTAGACATCTGATCCTAAAGAGCGCTCATTATATAAATGCCATACAATTCCATCACCACTCGCCTCCTATAGCGTATTTGAAAGTTTTTGTAATCATCTTCCCTCCTGTCGCTCCCCAAAGTTGAGCTACTCCCTATACTAAATATTAATATCGATTTCATTTAGTAAAATACTGGATTTACTTACAGCATTCAAAGATACTCCAGTAAACATCACATTAAGAAACAGCTTCTCCCCAGGATTTGATCCAAGCGGCCTTTCAGACATATCCAAATTTCTGTTCACCGGTCGGCGGCTAGGTATTCGATGATAATCTCGAGGCCAGTTCGGAGGATTTGCGACAACATCTGATTGTCTAGAATTAGGTGATGCTACCGCTCGTGTGTCTTGAGAGTCCCCTGTGACGTGGACTTCATAATCTCCGAGTGTTTGCTGGAGAGATAGAGTGATCGGGTTTGCGGTTGTAGTAACAGACATGATGATTTCTCTAAGGACACAAGGTTTAAGAAGACGACACAAGATAACAAGATCAAGTTTAGAGAAGGGTGTGAAATATGAACGGCTTTCGGACTTTTATTCTATTATTCTTGTTTTAGATTCCGGGGAAAATATAAGGGGCGAGATCCGAAGCGGCCGCCCCCACATCCCGCCGATGATTGTACGCCACATCCCGCTGATGATTTTACCCCACCACCCGCAAACAAACGGTATACTCGAGTAGAGTGGATTCCGCTCATGTATCCTTCGGGACTCGGAAGACCTTTAAAATGCCGGACCTAAAGCTCATGAATTCCTGACGTTCAGCTACATTCCGTCACAACAGCTTCAACGTCCCTGTAACCTGGTTGATCACACTTGCTGGTCCAGGACCAATGCCCAAGACAGTATGACTCCCACTGGCAATCTGCGTCCTCCCAGCATCGGCAATAACCTCTGCAACCAGACCCAAGCTTATAGCCGTCGCCTGTAATGTATCCAAGTCTTCCTCGCTCTTGACTTGGAGCGCGACCTTCATCTGTCCGCCTCTCTCCCACCTGCGCAGTATCTTCGACTTCGGATCGTGCTTGAGGAAGTGCTTGTAGCATGCTAGTGTCGCGTGTCCGCATTGTGCAGCGATTTTCCCTCCCATATCTTAGTATCTGCATCCTGCGTAGACAGAGGGGAGAGCAACATACCTTTCGTCATACCCAAGTCCGTCCGCACAACCAGAACCATCTTGCACTCCTCATTCGCATCCTCCATTCCCTGCTTCGCCTCCTCCCTCTTAATCTCCGGTATACTCTCCATACCCTCTTTCTTAATCCCCGGCTCCTGCTTGATTTTCGCCGCACTCGTCGCCCTCAATCCATCCCTCTTATCCGCTTCGAACCCATTCGACCAATTTGGCGCATGGTCCAATATCGACTCATCAATGTCTTCTTCCTCGCTCTCCTCTTCGTCATCGTAGTTCGATATTCCGCGTTTCCTGGCTTCTTTCGAGACAAAGGGATTGGGGAATAGACCGAGGCCGGATCCGATTCCGAAGAGGTATCCGCTGATACCTGCGATGAGGGCGGTGCCTACGATCATCGCGACCGGCGTTGGGGGTGCGCGGTCTGCCATTTCGCTTATCCGAAGACTGCTGCTTCGAAATTGATGTTATCGTCGCGGGTTATCGTCGAATGTACGCGATCCAAAGTCGCGAGAGGATATATTTTCGCTTACACAGACGTCATTTTCCATCCAGTGCAGTGCAGTTGCCTCAGTGCATCCAGGCCTCGAGAATACCCACAACACCACAAAAAATTCGGGGCTCTAACCACACAAGATCTGCAGGCCCAGCGCAGGGATTCCGCTACTGTGCCTGGTCTTCAGGGCTCATAATTCTGCGAAATGCAACAAAAGATGAGATGCATTTGGAGTGTCAGGGACAGGTGGAATGGCGCTAACAGCAACTGAGTGTGCTGAATCAGAGGGGTCCCCGAATGATGAGAGCAATTCCCAAATTCGACGAGAAGAAACCAAGAGGACACAACGAACTTTTATGCTATTGTGCAGCTTTAGGTACTTCGCAATTCTTCCTCACTAAGAAATCTAGAAATCATAAAGCGAGATCGCTCGTACCCCGTATGGAGGTTCGGATAAGCAATCACATCAACAAACATGGCATCACTGTCAAACCATGCCATGACAGCCATACGAACGAATAAGAAAGTCAGGATGGAAGCAGAGTCTTGATTAATTCTCACCCCAAGAATAACGACCCAGCAACCTTAAAATTCTGACCAGTTTCACATTCATCCACCGGATTTCTCTCGCTTAATAGAAAAGGGGGAGCTATCCGAGCATGTACGATGGCGAAATGGACACGAAGTCTTTCTCGGGAGCGCACTGGTACAACTTGGATCGAATGGGATTATTTGGGGCTGGAAAGAGAGCGTGCGAGTACGATCGTATAGGCTCGCATGTTTGAATCGTTGGTTGGAGTATCAGCAGCCCAGTAATGTTGCGTCAGCTTGAGGATCTCCAAACTCGGTAACCCAGCAACAATGCGGTTTATATTTAATAGCCCACTTGGCGACATTTTGTTCTGGAGATAGGGATTGTTAACTATAGCTTGAATCCCTTTGTCGTTGAAGATGTATCGACATCACACTGAGTCTCGTTCCAATCTGCTTCAACCCTTTCATTCCTACGCTTCTGGATCCATTCCGATTTTAAACCATTGGAGACATTTTATGTGTTTACTTTTTCAAATTTGGCCCTTTACCATATTTCAAAATGCCTTCTCTCATGGCCTCGGTTCACATTGCCCAAGTCATCTTGGTACTTAGCGTCCTCGGAGTCGCCGTCGTCAATAGATTTGTGATCGAAAACCCACCACCAGGCCGAGCAGGAATAATGGTTTTCGGTATTGTACGTTTCCTAGCCAGCCTGCCCTTCTCTTCCCCAGCAGAACGCAATTAACAGTCTCCCAGGCAGGGAAATCTCTCATCATCATCGCATACCAAGTGCTCTCGAAGAAATACCACAAATGGTTCAGTCTAAGGGCCAACATAATCCTGAACTGTCTTGAGGTCATCTTCTGGGCTGCAGTGGTTTTCATGAGCATCCAAGCGAACATGCAGTTTTGCAATGGTATCCACTGCACGCTGAACTGGATCATGAGTTTTCTTGGTGGCATTACAGCGTATATTCTACCCACACTTATTCATGGCTCTTTGGGTAGGGGTAGGTGCTAACTTGATATTTACAGTACTGTTACTGGATTCGCTACTATTATTTCCATTCGACTTTTCCGAGCTGCGAAGGCTGCGAAGAGAGGATACATCAATCACAAAGGGGGTTATGAGATGTCTGTTTAGATTTGGCGACTGGGAGAACATGCTTCCGCATATCTGCAACGATAAGGAGTTGACAAGTGGTTTGGTTGGCGGTGGCGTGGCTATTAATTTGAGATCCAGAATTTGAGCGAGGTATAGACAGGCTCTTGGACTTTTGGGGCAGCAATGGGAACAAATGAATAGGATGAGTATGATTGTGTACCCCATAGAAGCATTTCTCAGTTTTCAATCCATTCGACTGAGTGAAGAATTCTACGTGATCAACACTCTGCCTGGCCAGATGACTTGAGGAATCTTACGACACATCAGCTCCGGCGAACTTATTATCAATTTGGATAGCACACAGAGTCTGTGAGGAATTCCCCCTCCTGAGGAGTAGAACTTCTATGGAGTGCGGAAGTTTGTGTTGGCGAGGTGGTGGTGGCTTGGTTTGTTGACATCGCTTGATAAAATTAGCTATAAACTAACGAGCATACGTATATGAAAGATTGCCTAGCCTACGAAAGTTACACCTGTGCCTTATATTTGGGAGTGTAGGAGGCAACACTGGTTTATGTAGGCGCAGTGATGGCATAGACAGAGTTGCAAGAGAGTTTTCTGTGCAGCCGCCAATGGCTCGTTTCCATGGCAGAATTGGGAATATGTGAATCTTGGCTTGAGGCTTCGAACAGAGAAGGATACAGTATGATCCTAACAAAGAATTCTCGCATGCAGAAGATAAAAAGTGTTGGTGCGCGGGAGGAAGTACCTAGGTATCGACGGAAAGAGCCCGAGCGAGGGAGATCGATCTTCTGAGTAAGCCGAGGGGAGAAATGGTAGATTAGGAGTGTTTAAACACTTCCCGGGCGCTCACAGCTTGATTCGAACTTAGAGGCTATATGAGCCACGGACATTTTTCTGGACAGGCTCTGGCGAGGGTTGAAAGTCACTAGATATCGACCTTGTCACGTGACTCATTTCGCATTCCCAATCACCCAGTCTCAGACTTAGGGAGAGTGTTCAAGGGATTGAGAGACTCCTGGCGAGATATTATATGGTCTCTTGGGATATTTTAATCAAGTTGACTAGATCTGAGAAGACACCGAGCTGATCATACAAACACTTGTGCAAGCTCGGTTTCATATGGCTGCCTGGAGTTGCTCTTCCTCACCAAGAAGCTAAAATATGACGAAAGGTGACAACCTCCCCAGCCGGTGACCAACGACACGGCTCGCAATGATATAACAACAACACTACGTACCGAAAAAAGAGTGCCCCATTGAGACAGGCTCTGCTTTAGAAACTGTGGCCTGCAGCTCCCGTCCACATATATCTTGACGCGCAGCTATTCATTTTCCAGCAGACTGCAGCTTACTGCTGATATCTGCCACCATGGTCAAACGAAAGGCACCGGTCCAAGCATCGACCAGTAAGAGCATATCTAATACAACAAATCATGAGAAAGCATTAACACGTACGCAGAGACTGGTAAAAGGAACTGCAAAACTGCTACCAAATCAGCCAAGTCCACAAAACCCACTCAGCCATCCCGCCTCCTCGCTCTCCCACCAGAACTCCGAAACAGAATTTACAAGAACGTAGTAACCACCGACCTGATCTTCCTCTACACCAAGAGCTACACGGAAGGTGCCCCACAGTCCGTCGAGTCTTTCGGCTCAATCTCCCTGAATCCGTACGATATCCGCGGCACATGCACCACAAATCACCAAGAACGACAACCAGGCAAAGATGGCAAACCAGGAAAGCTAATCCTCCAAACGAAAGGCACCGGAGCACTCAGCTGGCTGCGGACCAATCGCCAGGTATACAAGGAAGCCAAGGCAATCGTGTATGCGAACCTCAAGTTCCACATCTGTCATCCCTTGGAGTTCTCGGGGCTCGTCACACCACCAAGGAAGTCCCTCACTCGGTATCCAAACAACCGGTCTTTCTCATTTTGTGTAAATGCTACTGTTGAGCATGATTCAAATGGATTTAGACTTGGTACAGGGCAGCGGCAACATGGTTGGGAGAACAGCCTCCATGGTCCTGGAGGTTGCTGCTGCTGCCCGTTTTGCTTTGCGCTGAATTCGCTACCGAGGGTTCTCGAGTCTCAATTGATGAATATTGCGCAGCTGGATCTGAGAGTGTTTTTCAGTTGCAAGTGGATGTTCAATGTGATTGGAACCGCTGAAGACTGGGCGAGGATGCCGAACCCGTTGACCTGTCTCGATGATGACAAGAGCGTGGATACTTTTGTGAATGCTTTCTGCGAGCAGAAACCGCTGGGACTGTTTTTGGAGAGGAATATTGGGCGTGTGAAAGTAACGCTGGCTTGTGAAAGAATTGAGCATTCTGTACCTGACAAAGAACCGTGCTGGTGTCGGGGAAAGAGCATCGACGAGGATAGTCTGAGAAGATTGGATATCGTCAATAAGATCAAGACGAGGCTAATGAGAGGCAACGACCATGGTAGCAGCACTGCCCGATGAAAGAGGCATGATCGCTCCAGCAAATACGCAAACTTTCTATCTAGTTATCCTTGAGAACGAGCACAAGCACGGGCACGAGCGTAAATTATCAATGCAACTATTTCTGAACATCCTACTACTAGACATCGAGCAAAGTTTTCTATCTTGCTGAAACCAGAGAGATTTGGTCAGTCATTTTCTCCAGTTTAACCTTCTGCAAATCCCTCATCGATGTGCATAGCTACATCCCCGGCTTCGCCGTCCTTAAGACGCTCAACGGCTTCGATTCAAGGAAAGTATTGACGCAATCCTCCACTTTTGTTCTCTCATTCAAGCAAGCCAAATTTGGTTACTTGATACACTTGACGAAGGCTGGGGATATTGGCCTGATTTGACCCCATTTAATCAACCACCTTGACTTTGAGCGACCAGATAAAAATCAGGAATTGCTTTCTAGAGTTTTGATAGCCAATGAGAAATTATTGTCAACGTGGAAAGTCGAAGTTGGTCGGACAGCTCTAACAGCGTATGTTCACATCGACTTCCTGAACCATACGCTAAGGACTGGGACTAGATAGGATCCGCTCTGCCCATCTTCTAGCTATTCTACCTGGGATCTGATTCATAGTCAGTCGAAAAGGATTTCACATGGCGAGTAGCATCTTCGAGATATCAAGTCTTTATGTACTGTTCCTCTTAGCCTAGAAGGTGCTTAATACGAAGTGCCCTGGTTCGCCTCCACAGGGCTCTATGCTTGAACAAGAACGACACTGCATCAGAAGAAAAGCATCACACGAAAACTGGGTATCAAGTACATTACTACAATGTCCCGCTACTTTCACATCATCAAGCTCCTCCTTTTCTCGCGAAACGACCCAGAGCAGGGCCAAGTTCTTGCTCGGCTTCCTGGAGTTTCTTCTGCTGCTTCTCGCCCTGGTTCTTCCTCATCTCCTCGATCTTCAATCTCCTCTCGTCGATGATGTTTCTTGATCCTTGCTTTCTCAAGTACTTCCTCAACGAGCTGTTCTTTCCCCTTCCACGATTCTTCACATCCGCAACAGGATCTACAGGCTTCTTGTCCAGATCCTTTTCGGCTTTGCGTTGCTCGGCAGTCAGCAAATCCAGATTGCCGATGTATTCTGGGTTGAGAGAAATCATCTCTGGTTGCAGCTTGTTAAGCAGCGAGCGGACTTCGGCTTCTTGACGTTGCTTGGTGTTCTCGTATGGGTTGATCTCTTGGGCATCAAAGTTGGGCTCTCCTGCTCCTGGAACAATGATGGACGAGAATCCAGCATCATGTGAGACACCCAAAATATCCTCAAACGGACACCATTTCACTCTCTCTATCCTCTTGCCTTCACCACCCCATGCCATGTACGGACTTTGAATCTTCTCCTGCTCTAATGAGTGCTTTGTGAATAATCCTCGCCACACCGAGGTCTGTGTTCCCCATCCTACTGCTGTCAGGCCGCGATCCGAGATGGCGACTGAAGATGCCGGTTGCCGTGTGAAGTAGCTGTTGACCTCCTTGAACATCCGAATATCCCAGACTGACATCTTCAGATCCTGACCTGTTGATACCATGTATCTACCTTCTCGATCCACTGACATAGCACGTACTGGACCTCGGTGTGCAAGAAGTTTGACTAGTGGCGTAGGGGAGTTGGGCGACCAGAGAGTTACTGTTCCATTTTGATGGCCCATGTGGAGAATAGCGTTTTGAGGGTTCTGGGTGAGTGCTGTAGGTGATCCAAGTTTTGTAGGCGTTTCGATGACCATTTGACCTGTTGAGATATCTTGGTATTTCAAGTACCCTGCGTTGCCCTATTATCTGTTAAAATCGTCCATCATAAGATGAATAAGGTACTTACGACTGTAGCCAGGAGGTAATGGTAGGGCAAGAATTCCATATTCGTAACTTCAATGTGCTTTTTCAAGCAATGTAACTCCACACCTGCCTGGTCGTATATGTAGACGTATTTCTTCTGCGCTACAGCAAACATCTGGTTGTTGTGTAGCCACTTCGCATCCCTCACTGTTTCCCCTAACTGCAATTCACAGCCCAGCTTTCCATCTCTCCAATCCATGGTAGCAATATGGCCTTTCCTACCCGCCAATAGTAAATTTCTTCCGTTTCTCGTATAGTCGCACACATAAGGCCCCAATGCGTCCAGCTTCAGCTCAAATCCTTTCTTTGCCGTCTCAATTGGAACGTCCTTTACAATGTCTCGTTGCTTGACCTTGTATGTCCTTTCCAGCTCGTTTTCCGGCTCGAGAAATCCCTTAGTATTTTCGTGCAGAATCTCCGCATCTTTTGCTCGTAATATCGCAGTCTGGTATTTCGATTCTTGTGCTTTTAGATTTGCTCGTAGCTTCTTGTCCTTGATTCCCCTTACTGCTTGACGTTAGTCTCTGGCGCAAACAGTTCGACAACTGCATTCGTACAAGGTATCTTTTTGCCTCTGCCATATTGTTTATTGGCCTCTCTCTGCCTCCGGATCAGTGCTGCATCGGGTCCTGGGGCTGTCAAATCCATCCGTGGGCGTTTAATTGGGACTGCGCCGTTGAAGTGTTGTTTCTCTCCGCTCTCGCCTTCGAGCCGATCAATCTCCATGGTCGACATCTCTTCCGAGAATTCACCTTTATTTCGAAGGCTTCGGCGGCGTTGAGGCTTTTGAGTCCTGCTGATGGTCGTGAACGTTCAAGCTCGAGATCCCGCCATCAAAATCCAGCAGGCTGAACTTTTTTAGTGCCAAGGCTTCGCTATCGCTTATCGCGAAATCTTGGCGGGAAAAAAGATTCGATAGAGAGAATCCCCCACATTTCAAAAACTCACGATAAACACAATCTCGACAATTATTCCAATCTGGCGTCCAATATTCCCTTCCGTTTCAAGGCCGGAGGCAACGGCACTATGGCTCCATCTGCGCAGTCCCACTCGCATAGGAGTACGACGAAAGGTACACAGAAAGGGTTTAAATCCAGGAAGGCCACTAAGGGCGCATTGAAGGAAATTTCTAAAGGTTTACCCCTCCACGACTTATTGGAATTATTACCATACTGACAGGCAATAGGAAAGCTTGCAGATCTCGGTCACCGCAAGACGCCTCATCAACAAATGATGTCGAAGTTTGACCGTCGCAATCAGAACAAACAGAAGCAGCTGAACAAGCACAAGGAACATTTGAGGGACACCAATGTCTTTGCGGGTCGTGACGGCGCACCACGGATTGTAGCTGTTATCCCATTGTGCGAAGATGGAGATGCTGCTGCAGCAGTGCGCCTGTTGAGTGGCAGTCTGGATATCGAAGCCGAGGTACCAGACGAGGGGCTACTGCGAACGGATATCGATCGATTCAAGCAGAAGATACAATACATTGTGCTGCAGCGAGACTTGGTGGCTTGTCTGGATGCTGGTAGAGTGGCAGATTTCGTCATATTCATTCTGTCTCCAGATCAAGAGGTCGATGCTCTTGGAGAACTCATAATTCGAAGCGTCGAAAGTCAGGGCTTGTCAACTCTTATGACGGTCGTCCAGGGACTTGACAAGGTGGAACCGGCAAAGAGGAGGCCCCAGGTATTGGCTTCGTTGAAGTCGTATGTTACACATTTCCATCCGGACCAGGAGAAAGTACACAGCCTGGACTCAAGGCAAGAATGTGCCAACCTCATACGATCGCTATGCACGACAACACCGAAAGGCGTCCGATGGAGGGAGGATAGAAGCTGGATGCTTGTGGATGATGTACAGTGGCCGGAAAATGAGCAAGATAATGTTGTTCTTACGGGAGTTGTCAGAGGCAAGGGTTTGAAAGCAGACAGACTTGTCCAGGTTGGAGACTGGGGTGATTTCCAGGTTGAGAAGATTACTGCGGCACCTTTGACTTCGAAAAAGAGGAGGCAGGACGAGATGACAGTAGACGAAGCCGATGCAGAGAATGTGCTTGATACCCCAACGATGGACCAGGACGATATTGCAGACTTGGCTCCAGAAGAGATCATGATGGATGATGATCTTGATGCCACAATGTCGGTAGCAACAAGCGACAAGCGTGGAGTGCTTTTAGACGACCATCACTATTTCTCAGACGATCAAACGCATATGCCGGCGAAGCCCAAACGATTGCCGAAGGGTACATCAGCATATCAAGCAGCATGGTATTTGGGGGACAACTTCTCTGATTCCGGATCTGACTATGAAGATGTCGATGAGCAGGGTGACTTTTCTATGGGTGCACCAGCTTTGCCACAAGATGGAGTTGAAGGATTTGCACCACGAGAGCCCACTGAATTTGCTCCTACAGAATACGCAAAGTCCGAGATGTTCCTTGACCCAACACCAGATGATGAGGCAGAAGCGGAGCAACTTGCAGCGTTCAGAAATCGGAATGTGGATGAGGCAGAGGACGATCGTGAATTTCCAGACGAGATCGAGTTACATCCTCATGTCCTTGCTCGGGAAAGGCTGCTTAAGTATCGTGGATTGAAAAGTTTGCGTGAGAGTCACTGGGAGGAAGCTGAAGACAGAGCTTATGAGCCGGAAGACTGGCGAAGACTACTTCAAGTGCCTGATTACAAGTCCACGAGAAGTCAAGTTACGAGAGAAGCCTTGATCGGCGGCGTACAAGCTGGCACTCGAGTTCATATCCATCTTCGCAACGTTCCCAGTTCTCTTCGATCATCTCACAATCCATCCCGCCCGCTAAACCTTTTCTCCTTACTTCGCCACGAACACAAGCGCTCAGTTCTCAACTTCAACTTTACGTTGAGCACCGACTACACGACTCCTATCAAAGCCAAGCAGGAGATGATCATGCAATGTGGTCCTCGACGCTTCGTCATAAACCCTCTCTTCTCACAAGGAGGCAACACATCCAATGATGTCCACAAGTTCGACCGCTTCTTGCATCCTGGTCAATCGACAATAGCGACGTTTGTCGCACCCATGACTTGGGGTTCTGTGCCAACACTCTTCTTTAAGCGTAACATCCCCAGCGAAGAGAACTCCTCCCCACTTCCCCTCACCCTTCTCGGAACCGGTACTTCGATGGCACCATCCTCCTCTCGCGTAATCGCTAAACGTATCATCCTTACGGGTCACCCGTACAAAATCCACAAGAAGCTCGTGACAATTCGCTACATGTTCTTCAACCGCGAAGACGTCGAGTGGTTCAAAGCATTACAGTTGTGGACGAAGCGAGGTCGCAGTGGGTTTATCAAGGAGAGTCTGGGTACACATGGTTATTTCAAGGCTACCTTTGATGGGAAGATCAATCCTCAGGATTCTGTTGGTGTCAGTTTGTATAAGCGTATGTGGCCAAGGACTGCCAGGGTTTGGAAGCCGGAGGAATTGGTTGCTGGGGAGGGCGATGTGGCTATGGAGGTTGATGATGTTGTTTAGATGGGTTCAAGGACTGGAGTTATATAGGGCTAGGATGTCCCTTAGACAAAAATGGCATCTGACGAATCGAAATGACGTGCTTTAGCTGGAGTCAAGAACCATCTGGACTGATTTTGGACATATGGATTTGATTTCCATGGAGCTGCTCGTAACAGATCCAAATTCCCTAAGTAGAAATAAGCATCAATTCCTCTGGACAACAAAATCTCGCCAAGCATGTTGTTACATCTCCTTATCTAAGCGAGGTATGGACCGCACAAGCTGAGCTGCCAGCAAAAATAAATCGTGTAAACCGAATCCCTCCCGCCCTTCGCTCTTTCACTATTTAGATGCTAAATACCATTCATACATCCGCTATACCAAGCCACAATTTCCCATATCTACAGCACAAAAGTGCGCTCGCCAAAAGGGTAAAAAATGAGGTGTCCGAGATATTCTCGGGGACATGAACTCGAAGAACTGGATATGCTCTCTGACGGGGAGTCGAACCCCGATCTCCCGCGCTTTGTCTGTTATGACAAGCGGAAATCATGACCGTTAGACCATCAAAGATGTTTGCTTTGAAGCTGTTCATGTCGGAGATGTTCTTATTTGAGCATATACGAGCATTACTAGCGACAAAAATTTGCTCCCGAGGGTTAGACGGGAAAGGGTGTTAGCGTGGATCACAAAGCCCCGGCTATGAATCGGTTGGGTTAAGCTTTGATGGTGTATACGAGATTGTTAACTCTTGATTGGCTTAGTGGGAAGCTTGCATTTGGGGTGGAGCTGTCTACTTCAACACCCAGAAATGGACGGGACGAAGAAATGTTTCCATATTGCCATGAAATTGGAACAGCCAATTCATGTCATTGGCTAATCAGGCAATGGACTGATTTTTGATATGTATGCTGCTTATTACGCTTATTGTAAGGCTTCTTCTGGATTATTATTCAGCGATTGACATTATATTGTCCCGTGACATGTCATAAATGAGTCCATCGAATCACTTGATATTATCTGGGCCCAGTACTTAGTAGGAACCTCGTAGAAAACTCATCGTTAACCACAAGCAGTCAAATATCGATTATTAACAAACCACAATTAATACGTTTCCCTTTTCAGATGAAAACAATGGTCACGTGTAAGTGGAGAGAAGCCCGAAAATTGGGCTCACCCCGCTATTAGTGCCCTATTTCTGTGCGGTCTACCAAAGAGATGAGAATATGCAACTGTAGAACTCATGTTTTCTCGAAATATGCATCGATGCCTTCTTACGCAACACAGCAGATGCTAATCCATTCCTACGACCTAAAGCCATGCTAGAATGCTTATTGTTTTCTCCTTACGATGGTGGCGAATGCTCTTGTACTATTCCCAGGTCTCCAAATTCTGGAATACCATATTACTCCGTTACATGCACTAGTAGGAAGACGCTCCCACGACAATTCCGATGCTGATGCAGATGCTCTTAGTGTTATGCAGTTTTACGAAGGACCTTTCCCTCACTCTCATTCTTTGGTGACAACTATCGACCTCGTCTCTATTGACTGCCGAGGAGCTGCACCCTCAGGCGCATTTGGATTCACGAACGAAACATGCGGACAGACTTGGATATCGTCAGCTCTCATCACAGGTTCGGATATTTAAACTCACATCGAGCATGATCCCCACCCTTCGTATCATACATAACAAAAGCATACGGCTCAGCAGGGGTTTGTTTTTCCAGCCAGAACCATTTATGGTTTGGGTTGTATGTCAGGTAGTATACCTCACCAACCCGATCTGGAATGATCCGATCAGCTGCAACGAGATCTTCTGGGTTAACAGACCGGCTGTCACAAAGAGCAAGTGGACGATCCTCCAGTTGGGGAATCAGTGTTCTCCAGGTGCTGAGATCATATTAGTACTTGGGTCCGTTTGTCTTCATGTTTTGCTTACTTGATGATTCTGAATCGGTAACCTGGTCTCATATATTTGGCTTTGATCTCATTTGAGAGGTAGCGGTTGATTACCTGCGGGCCAGATAGATAAGTGATATCTGACTCAAAGTCAGATATATGGCTGTCAAAGTCGGAATTCAAGAACCACATACCATTATGAACTCCGCGAGCCGGACCCTCAGTCAGAGTCAGATCGTTCAGATCCAACTGCCTCCGCTGAAACAAAATATTCTCCCTCAGCCTCGAATCATAACACTGTACAAATTCCGCACCAAGTTTCTCCTTCAGTAGCGCTTCCGTCTCTTCGCGGTACTGCATGACATCTTCAGCCCTAGGGAAAGCTGAGAATTGACTTTCATGATCAAGCACTTCGAAGCCACACTCTCCTATTCTCGGCTTCGTCTTTGATTTCCGGATGTCTTGAATGATGATGTCGGAGTGGTCCTCGAATTCGAGATTGTCAACTCTTTGATGATCTGGATCGTACCCCTCTTTTGGGGGCAAAAAACACCAGTACGGCTTCTCATGTTCGTAGAGTGGGAGCTTCTGCAAGTACTCGAGAGTCGCTCGCACAGGAGACATCTTTAGCAAAGACAATGGAAGTTTCGGTACTTCGAAACAGTGACTCCACCTCTTAGAGAAGGCGTTTGTATATCCTGAGGTCTACTCGAGGTGCACATAACGTTGTCACGAGCAAGGCTACAACTCTACGAGGCTATCCGAAAGTGCAGGGCCATGAGATAGGCTCGTTTATTCAGCGCGTCCTTGGACTGATGCTCCCAGCGAATCATACACCAGTTCTGACCGAGTAGCAACCCTTCCTGATGTCTCGGCTTTCATGTTTTCTTCTCGTGTCCGTCTTACGAAGTTGGTCACACGTTACCATCATTATTTCATAACTCAAGTTTTAGCAGAAGTACAGCGTGCGAAAGTACCTACTCCTGCCTGGACGGGTAGACGCTTTTGAAGGTGGACATGAGGCACCCCCTCCATATCACGTGACCAAACTTCCCGACCATCTCGACTTTGTGTCCTAGGCAGGAATGTTGGGCTATTCTGTGTCAAACTTCAAGGGGAGTCATATTAGCAACTGTGTACTCTCTCCAGCGCTACGAATACATCAACCAGAACGGTGACACACTGTAAACTGTTAAGTAATTGATATTTGTCCAGCTCGATCATTCGCTTGTTCACCGAGCCGAACCGTACTAGCCAAAGTATGTTGACTTGTCGTGGAAAGGCAGATTCGTAATGCTCGCAAGGCTGTGTGGGGTGAACATTATGATCGATCGCGTGCATATGCTTCTGCACTTGTTGAGCTGTTTAGCTTCATGCAGACACCCAGCCTTGGTGGAAATCCAGCCTCTTGCGTTTGGAGTTCTTATCGGTGGCTGTATGCAACTCATCGAAGTTGGAGGGGTACACTGTGAGCCTGCAAGTCAGCCCCATCCTTCCGAGCCAGTACCCCTCATCCAGGAATTTACCCACCGAAACCTTCACACTGGAGTCGGGCGTACCTGCAAGGCAGTGCTGGGGCGTGGAAGCACGCTTCTGCAGGATATTCGCTGCCCAATATGCAGAAGGGGCACGAGCTGTAAGCCACGGAATCGGTGTGCTATCATAGGTCGTGTCGTGAGCCTCATTTGAGACACTTCATCAGACTGGTCACCTAGAGTTCATGGGGCATTTGTGTGACCCCGCGTAAAGCTGCCATATTTATCTTGGTCAAAGTCAACGAGCCTCCACAGCCTCCTCATTACATTCTTGTGGTCGCATACCTGGCCCATCATAATTCCTGGATCCCGGGCTCAACACTGGCAATTCTAGAATCTCGAAATCCTTTCTCGATATGCGTTCACATTGAAGTAATATTGTAAACAGCGACTGATCCGTTGTTTCTTCTTGTAGCGAATTTTCGCAATCATGACGGCTGTTGAGATCTCGAATGGAGTACATAATTTGAATCTGAATGGCAAGCATGCCGTTCAAGAACCACTCGTTCGTAGGGGGACTAATGGAGACTTGATCGAGGGAAATGGGAGTGCAAATGGCGCTCAAAATGGTCACAAGGGATCCGTCGCAAACATTCCCCGTGGAGATGAATATGATGTAGACTTCTCGTGAGTAATAAAAGGTCGGATTATTGGCTTGAAACTGACTTCAGTAGTGACACGAGGAAATTCGTGGTTAAGCGATGGGAAGATATCGTGCATTCAGCGACGTCCAGACTTTCCGAACAAGGTAAGAATCAGGTGAACTGTGTAGGATTGTGCTAACTCTGATCAGATCTCAAGGTGGCTTCAGACTATTTGTACTGGCATGATATCAAAGACGAGATCCAGGCTAAGCTTAGGGACTCGTCCTCAACTCAGATCATGAAACGACAAATGAGCAGAATACAAGCCCTGCCGAGCGTCTTGGTCAAGCTAACAATGACTTTCGATGGTCTCATTGTCCCGTTTGATGTCAAATTTGAAATTCTCTGGGGCTTGATTTTTCTCAATCTCAAGGTACTGTCTCAATTATGAATTCGATAGCAGGTCTGACATCAATCAGTTGTCATACACTTCTCTGGATCGATTAAAACGAACTTGTGATCTTATGGACAGACTTCGAAAGGTCACCGTACTCTTCAATCGGTGTCTGGAAACTTGCGACGAAAAGAACGAAGCACGAATTGCGGTAATTGATTTCTTGGATCCCATTATCATGGTGCTTGTTGATTGCGTTGATTATTTCCATGAACATTTGTCCGGTCTGTAAACTCGAATCTTGAGAAGGTTATCACTGACGGATGGGACAGAAAAAGAAGCAGCAGACACATGGCCGGACATGAGAGCGAATATCGATCAGCAGTTGGCATCACTAGATTACACCGTCAAGCATGTCAGGTCAGCACAATGCTCCAAAATCCTGGGAACGACTAATATCGAATCTAACATATCAATAGCGAAATTAGCAACTTCTCTAAAGTGAATCGGGATCGTCAAGTGAAAAGTTTGTCCTCTCGACATGCGGCACTGCCAGATACAGAAGAACCAGGAGTGTTTCCCAATCGCATTTTGCCCTTCCAGCGAAACAGAACGTTTTACGGTAGGAAAGAAGAACTTGATAAGATTTTGAGGTATCTCAAGCCAAAGGATCAAGACGATGGTGTAGCAAGTTTTCGAACGTACACAATCTACGGACGTCGTGGAGTTGGCAAGACTGAAATCGCTTTGCAATTTGCTCACGTGAATCCTGGTGGCTACGATGCGATTTTCTGGATTCAGTGCGAGACTTCTGTGTCAATCAGACAGAGCTTTACCGACGTGGCACTATCCCTCAATCTTCCTGGAGCTGCTCGAGAGGGCAAGCACGAAGAGAATTTGCTTCAGGTTCTGAAGTGGTTGAAATTGACGAGTAAGCCCATGGAAGTCACTCTCTTAACTCCACTAGCTGACCGTATAACAGAGAAGAAGTGGTTGTTGATTTTTGATAACGCTGGTACTTATATCTCTTCCATTATTTAGTCTCAATCACTAAAATTGTATAGAACGAGATCAGATTCTACAGAAGTATTGGCCCGTGGGTGCAATGGGAGCCATTCTCATCACATCCAGGGAGTATTATAACTTCGCCAAAGATGAAAGTCGGAAAGGAGATACAGTCAAACCATTCACAGAAAATCAAAGTTGGGAGCTCTTACTGAAACTACTCGGAGAAGACTGGGAGAAAGCAGACCGAGAAGGCACCATCGCCCCGTCTGAAGTCATAGCCGCCAAGAAATTCTTGGGCCAGCTTGAGGGTCTAGCATTAGCTGTACGTCAAGCAGCAGTCATGATCAAAGATCCCAATATTGGTGGTCCTACGATTGCAAAGACGTATGAAAAGTTCAAGGAACGTATGCGAACTCTCCCGCCCCGTCACTCTTCTCGCCGTTCGGCATCCGAAATCGCCCTCGACTCCCTTTGGGATATGACTTTTAGCGCTCTTGGGACTCATGCAAGAACACTTCTCAGTGTCTTTTCGTGGCTGTCACCTGGTAAGATGTACGTCTGAGGCTCTTGATATTTCTGCTAACAAAGATGTCCAGATTCCATTCCTGTTGATCTCTTCTTACCCCGCAACCAAAGCGTGCTGGACGGCTCGCTGTCTTTCTGCAAACAAGTTCAAAACATTAACCCTCTCAAGCGTACTTCCATCATCAGTGCCCTTTCACCGTCTCCTGAATTTACCGCAGCCATCGATGAATTGTTGAAGAGGGAACTCATCAAGCGAGACAATCGTATCTATTCGATCCATCGAGTGGTCCAAGAAGCCGTCAATTACCACGACGAGGACGACCTCCAGAACAGTTTCAACATTGCAACTGCTCTGGTTCACGAAGCATTTCCAAAGGTCGTCATGAACCAGCCTCTGATCAAATACTGGACTACTTGTCAAGTGTATATCCCGCACGGGGTGTTCCTGAGCAGAAAATTCGCAGGACACGTGAAGTCGGGGTCGACTGGAAAGTAAGTATTGGATTAAACGCCAAATCCGGAATCGAATCTTGCGATTGTTTCGCGATTGTTTTTCTATTCAATCTATCAGTGATGTAGCAACAGCTGACATGTTTCTAGACTAAAATCCCTTCCGGAATTTGTTCAGTTACTTCACCATTGTGGCTGGTACTTGTACGAGATCGGCGATTACGATGTTTGCAATCGAGTGGTTGAAACTGCGACTGGGGCATGTGAAAACAAGAAGTCCCTGTTGTACGCTGACAGTAAGTCATATTTCGAAATGACAGTGTTCCAAATAATTTCACAAATTTGGCTCCTCTTCGTCCACATGGCGGAAATAATGCGAGACTTGTTATTCAAGAACTTGGATTTGTTGATAAATATCAAGCTAACTCAGACTCCTTCCACAGTCCGGAATACCGCTGGTGGTCGATTCTATGATCTGAACGAACTAGCTCGCTGTCGAAGAGCCTGGGAGGACACCCTCAAGATCAGAAAAGAGTTATTGGATCATGACCATCCACAAAGTAGGTTCAGATCTCTAATTTTCGAGGTGTAGCTAAAATATTATGCAGTGGCGGCCATCTACAACAATTTCGGTAATGTATGTATTATTTATTCGCTTACCCGACCTAAAATTGGGGGGACCTGTCTTTCATGAGAATTACTTGCTAACACTCTGATCAGCTGGAACTGTCCACGGGTAATCCCAAATGGGCAAAGGAAAATTTTGACCGTGCGATGCAAATCTGGGTTGCTGGTGGTGACAATACCGCCGTTCAGTTGGCACTTACGCATCTTTGTGTTGGAAGATTGCATACACTGAAATTGAATGTCGAAGACGCGTGGAGAGAAACGAATTTGGCTGAGACTCTTTTCCTAAGGACAATGGGTGCAGATAAGGGGTTCATGGCGAAGTATGGCCCTCAGACTCATTCAGATCAACATAACTGATATAATAACAGCGTCCATTACGTCTATGGAAATATCCATATGTTGCAGAAAGACTGGGATCTGGCTTGGAGATCGTTCGATGAGTGTCTGAAGATTGGTTTGGCTACCATGCCTCTGCATCCCATCACAGCAGCAGCGTACTACTCACTCGGCTGTGTGAAGTTTGAGCAAGGAGAACTGGAGCCCGCAAAGTATTTCTGCTTTTTATTACCTGTCAATCAAGTCAGAGCTAACATTTAACAGGGCCTGGCTGGAGAAAGCGCGATCAATTGCACAACTCAACAGTCCAGTTGCAGACGATGGTCCTACTGCTCGCATTTTATGGAAACTGGCACAGATCTTAGAAGCTGATCCTGAACAAAGGTTCAATGAGGAAGCTCTAGATCTGAGGAACAGAGCAGCTATCGCCAGAGCCAAATTGCTGGCTTCGGGGAAAGGTGGTGCCATGGCATTCTTGCGCGAGGAAGATGCGGAGGAAGCGGACGACGAGGAGGAGGACTACGATGTGTTGGTTCCTTTGTTTTATCGGTAATGCTGGAAAATGTCAAAAGAAGGTCAGAACGTCATGTCATCAGACGGTTGTGCTTTGCTTGGATGTTGCTCGTGGGCGTGTGTGTGTTTGTGAGATCAGCAAAATGCATCAGCTGCACTTCCACGATTTTCTACTTGGTTCATCTCTTACCATTCGTTGAGGAGCAAGTGCTCCGGATGAATTTGCATTATTTGTTTCTGCGTTCCTGGATTGATATCCCTTGTGACTTCACTTTAAGGCTACAATCCACCTACCTCCTGTAGGTGTGCCACATGGGCCTGGACACTGTAAATTAGCGAGCTGTGTGCCCTGGAGCTACAGGGCCCAACCCTTTATTTTTTATCCGAACAATACCCACCCTCATTACTTCAATCTCAAAACAACCATTCAGAGTTGCAATGGTCACACGAAGTGAGATTTTTAAATTAATCGTCCACTTAGCTTCCTGCATGTCTTTAGGCATTCGGGCCTCAATTGCAAAATTAAGATCCCCAGATCCCCGCACTTGGCTCGCGGAGGCAACACCTCCGGTCCACGGTTGAACAATTGTCCGGTGTAACAGGTCAGATATTCTTTATAATCATGCAGTAGAATTTCAGCATGTTAGGTTGAGCTTGTGTAGCTTCTCTGCGTGATGGTAAAATTTATATCTGAATGCACATATTTTAACAAAACGAGATGTGGTGTTGGCAGTGAAGTGCTACCTACGTTGTTTTCTTGATCTCGCTTGCTGTATTTATCCCATAAAAGCATTCAACTGGGAGAACACCGGGCCGCCTACGGGAGGTACGAGTTGAGCCAAGTCGCCTGATAAAATGTGAGTGTTCTTGTTCTCTGTGATCTATTGTTATTGAACGGCACATCGGTCTCCTCGACCGTACAAATTGGGCCAAGTTGAGGAACAGAGGGTCCCGAACGAGTCCTCCGTCCCCAGTCTCTTGGCGCCTCCCCGCGACCCTGAATCCCCAAGACCTAATCTTCTAGACCTCATCCTAAGTCCCTAGATTTGCCCCTTTATATATTCGAGTTCTTTATTCCTCCAATGGCATTTGGTTCCAAGCATGCATGGCGGGACGATGTGATGGTTCCTGGCTTGACATGAGATACCCGATTGGACTGACGGGTAGCAAACGTTGAAGTCGCAGCCATGTGATGAGAATATATCAGAAGAATGTAATTCTTGCTGATGTTAATCCGGCCCGTGGACCAGATCTCATGGCTGGAAATTTGTTTAAAAGTCCTTCTCCATCTCTCAAAATTATGGGAATGGCACCATCTCAAGCATCTCTTACCGATTGTCGCTCAAGATGACTCGCACCTTACCCCTTTTCGCTTCGCTGCTCCTTTGCCTGAACCATGTGGCTGCTCAGTCACTTGGTAAGGGCCGAGAAGTCCATCCAAAGCTCGATACCTACACCTGCACCAAGCGGAGTGGGTGCAAGAAGCAGACTTCCTACATCGTTCTGGACTCTGCTATGCACCCTATCTATCAGAAAGACAACCCGAGTCTAGGCTGCGGTGACTGGGGATCAGCACCCAACAAGACTGTCTGCCCGGATGCGAAGACCTGTAACAAGAACTGTGTCATTGATGCCATATCCGACTACTCGCAATACGGCGTAAAGACAAAGGGCAGCAGTCTCTACCTGGATATGTTGAGAGATGACCTATCCACGATCAGTCCAAGAGCATACCTCATGGACAGCGATCAACACAAGTACGACATGATCAAGCTGACTGGCAATGAGTTTTCATTCAATGTCGATGTTTCAAAGCTTCCTTGTGGCATGAACGGTGCTCTGTACATGTCCGAGATGAACAAGTACGGCGGCAAGAGCTCGCTTAACAAAGGGGGTGCTGAGCTCGGTAATGGATACTGCGATGCCCAATGTTACACATTCCCATTCGTCGATGGTGTCGTGAGTATTTCACTTCCAAATCATCAAGCCATGCTAACCGAACGAAGGGTAATATCGAGGGCAAGGGTGCCTGCTGCAACGAGCTTGATATTTGGGAAGCAAACAGACGCTCCACAGCTCTTGTTCCCCATCCTTGCAACATCTCATCCATCTACCAATGCACAGGTGATGAATGCGGCTTCGAAGGTGTCTGCGACAAATGGGGATGCGGCTTCAACCCTAACGCTGTCGGGCAGCCAGACTTCTACGGCGAACAGGCCGGGGCTGAAGTTGATACCAAACGCCCATTCACCGTTGTCACCTCTTTCCCCGCAGAGAACGGTGTCTTGAAGCAAATTCAGCGAAAGTACATCCAGGACGGAAAGATCATCTCGAACACCTTGGTCAACCTTCCTAACAGAGTGGCCAAAAACTACATCGATGATGCATTCTGCGAGGAGAACCCTGGCGGAACCAGACGGTTCACCGAGCTTGGTGGCATGGCGGAGATGGGAGAAGCTATGTCGAGGGGTATGGTCCTTGCTTTCGCTGTTTGGTGGGACGTTGGTGGATTTATGGATTGGTTAGACGGTAAAGCGAGTGGTGCTGGACCTTGCAACAGCACTGAGGGGAATCCCGAGTTTATCAAGACGATTCAACCTGATGTTGCGGTTGAATTTAGCGAGATCAAGTGGGGCGAGATTGGAAGCACTTACAAGACAAAGTAGATCTCATACGAGAAATTATCTAGCAACGCTGAATCTTTTTTTTTGTATATTATCTAAGTCTACCCTCCTTAGGCATGAATGACTTGATCTATCAGTCGGGTGTTGTTTCAAGGGACCATTGCCTTGTTCCAATAAAAACCCATGACAATTATCAGGGGTTCATTATTTGACTGTAATCTTTGGTCAGTCATGTATTTATCACGATTGCCATAGTGCCAACATCTACTAGAATCAGGTAGGAGATAGCGCTGAAGAAGACGTGATAAGATATGACTTTTATTAACCTCCCAATCATCATTTTATGCTAGTTTAGGTTCTGTACAAAGAACAATAGATTCGTCGCCCTTACATAACCCCAAAATCAAACCCGAAGTTATTGTCGGAGAATCATGTCATGGACCAGACATCAGAGTGGAAAATCCCAGCTCCACCTTACAGGATACCGGGCCCTGTCATTACAGGGATTTCACGCTAGGGACTCGCCAACCGAGCGCTGTGTTGAAGCGAGCATGCCCTGAAAGTGGACCCCCAAGATCGCTAAAGAGGCAGAGGAACAGCCTAATGACTTCCCTGGTCCAACTGCTGTTTCGCAAGCATGACTTGCCATATCTGGAATATAAGAGAGAGTACCATCAAGAAAATGGTGAAGGTTGCGAAGAAGACAAGAAGCTGTGAGCCAAGAGTTAGTGCTGGCTTCAAAGAGGTTCAAGGGAGAGTAAAAGGTGGCATACCTGATTACTCCACAGCGTGTACCACGCAGCAACATCCCGTTTATCGTTGAGAAGAGACCTGACATTCTGTGGCTGATGTTGTTTGACGAAGTCTTGTAGCGCAATGAGTCGCTTGCTGAAGAATGGAAATTCGGTGTAAGGATATGTCTTCGCTGGCTCGCTGGCTTCGATGTCATCATAGATGCGCTGCGCTTCTTCGGAGGTGGCACTCTTGCCGCAGAGAACCTGGAGCAGTGGATCCCAAACGAATGGAAGATCGCCAGGCACTTCTTGCTCTTCCATCGCAGTCATGATTCGTGAAAAGGATCGCCAGGATTTCTCGTCGAGGCCGAAGATCAGGCGGTATGAGAGCAGGATTTCTTCGAAGTACTCGGATGCTGGGACCTCTGGTGTCTGAACATCCTCACAATTTGCGGCGGCGTGGTCGTTGAAGATTCTGGTTGCCAAGTTAGAGATCGTCTTAGAGAGCTGTGAGCGGTTCCTTACTTCGATAACAATCCATTTTTCTCCGCTTCGCTCATCAGTCGAGCGAAGGAGGGGTATTGGAATAGCTTGAGGGTCTTTCTCCCACTGTCGAATTCCAAGTGCAATGCATGTGATGTGACCCATTCAATCTTGATTTCGACTACCGTGTTGAGATGATGGAAACACAGAGTTTGGACATTGATTGCCTCCGATGCCAATTCAGTCGCCTCACCCAGTTCCGCCAGACTGGATACTTTGGGTCCAGGGATGAGGTCCCCAAATTTGGAAAGTAAATACTCCAGAGACCGATCGACGTGATCAAACCCTTGAGAGTGACTTCGGATTTTTCTTGTTGTCAAGGGGTGTGTTCGGCCAGACGAGGCAGTGCTCGTCCTGGTTATTTCCAACTTGTCTGCTTCGGGCTTGTTTACAGCTTCATAAATCATGGCTAGGTAGATGTTAGCTATGGGTTTGGTATATTAGAAGAGGAGGCCCTACTTAGCCATCCTGTTACCGCAAATACTGCCTGGTTGTGTAGCGCACGCTCCGAGTCTAATTGCTGTTTCAACTGCTGCTCGTTTTCCAACCCATCAACAATTTCGGCAAGTGCCAGATTCGATTGTGTTTTCAGCAGTCGCGCGACTGTGATTGCGAAGTTAAAGGCTACAACGAGGTCCCCTTGTCTCGGTCCAGTCGAGTCATCATCCAGGCCGACAAGTGTTGGTGCCAGTAGATGCCAGTGACTTATGAGTTTGTGCCGCAGAAATCTCGAATACCATATGCATGCATCTGCCAGCGAACCTTTGATGAGATTGTCTCCTACGATCAGAGCTAAGAGGCAATCTTGTCGTTGTCTTTCGTCATCCGTGAGTGCTGAGAGGGACGCTACGTTCGTTAGATGAGCAGTCGCAACAACGCCAACGGAAATAAACTGATGAACTGACCTTCTACAGTCCGATCTCTTGCGCCGGCGATTGTAGCGAATGTGTTAGTCCGCGGAGATGTTTTTGAGCCTCTTGTTGGTGTCTAACAGAAAAATTAGTTGGTATTTTCTGGAAATCGGTGTTCTGTAGAACTCACCATCCGATCAATAAACGACACTCTCCTGTCCACCCTCCTCTCACCAAGTTCAATATCGGTCAGCATTCTGAACAGTTTACAATCTTGCGATTAATCTGCAAGACATCAACATCTGACTAAACTTCCGAGAATGAAGTCTTATACTCTTCTCGACTTTTTTGAAAGTCCGCCTCGTGGCAGGGCATGAAACTGTTGGGTAGGAACGTGAGCCTGGATACTTTCTCGGAAGCGAACAACGAAAACCCGCCGGCTTTTCAGAGACTTGCGGCAGTGCTGTGCATGCAGTAGGTCGAGCATTGATCAGGTTGTCAGAGCGGTGTATTCGTAAAGATAAGAGACCTGGTCTCAGCCCGGTTAGAATTGCCTTGTGGAAGTCAGCCTATCTTGCAGCCTTGGTCGAATAAGAAGGCTGTGCGGGGTCATGCAGGTGAGGGAGATGCTGTCGAACGAGACACTGCCGCCCCCCACCAAATTGTCCAGGTGATAGCCACAGCTACATACTTTGGGCATCATGCATTGCATCCTTGATCGTAATGCTATCAAGTAAGACCAAGTGACAACTCAGCCTTGATACCTAACCATCAGAGAACCACTCAGCCTCATGGTCACAGTGTCTCGACTTTCCCCCGAGGCGATGACAAGGCTCTCGCATACACGTGTACATTTTGAATCTTCTAGGAGACTGTGAAACCCAAAATGTGTTGATACCTAGTTAGCAGAGACCGATTTGCCAGGAGGCATCAAAGTGAATGTACAAAATCCATGCCTCATGTTGATAAACCCTTTCGTAAATGCAATCGTGCCCACCTGCCAGTTCTTCATCCAGCTTCCCACGACTCACTACGCCTCGTTTCAATATCCCCCTAGGTTATTGCTTCCTGTAGAGATTGTGTCAGCAGTTGTCACAGAATTGATTTGGGCGTTGAAGTATGCAAAATGACTCCTTCTTATTCATGGCCGAATACTCTTTCTAGGATAGAATTCGAGTTCGTCTTTTGGAAACCGAAGATTACTGAAACTGCTAAAGACATGATGAACTGGGCACGAGAACATACCATAGACAGACTTCTCGGGACATGCAACTAACAGCTTGCCATCAGGAGATGGCTCTACCGGTCCTTGCCATAACTCTCTCCAAGGTTGCACCTTTCGTTCAGTCGATGGTGGGAACGTGCCGAGTGTGACAGTAGAGAAGAACTCTGCTACTGGTTCAGGTAATTCGCCTAGAAGCGAAGCAGGTTTTGGTTCTGGGGACGATGCTCTTGATGTTGCAGACGACGAGGAGCTCTTGACAGAAGATTGATCGGAAATGTCCGATGAGTTTTCCTGGAGTTAATGTGAGCAGGGAGCTCACAAGTAGAGAAATCAAATGAACTCACACTGTCAAGCTCGTCCCTCCTGGTGATAGACTTCTCTCGTGTTGGAATCGACATCTGAACAGGTGACGAGCCCTTCAGTGGCGATTCAGAAGACATCGTGGAAGCTCAGAGTTTGATAATAAGGATGGATGGTAACTTAGAGCTGGAATAGGCCGCGTCAGTCTAGGGAACTTACGAGCCGAGGCTTGGGTTGCACGGGATACTGACACAAGAAAGCCTTGCTTGCAGTATTGTGTAGAGACGGCGAGGAATTCTGAAGTAGGAAGACGCCAGATGAGGTGCCCGTGAGATAAACCATCAAAGAGCACTTACTCGATCGCTTATATCGGCTTAAGGTGGGACAGCTGGACAGTGGGGGGAGTCACACCTCTTCCAGACAGACACCTCGTAGATGCGCGGCTGAGAATTTCCTCTATCATCTGCGGGGACTGTCCTCACTGGTTGATTATTCCTTGTACGGTTGTAAGGATGCTTCGCTGATCAACACCATAGATCTAGAGGACCTCGGAGTAGGAATGTCGAGAATGACGAGTTTCAAGAGATGCCCCTCATTCTCCGATAAAAGCCGCTTGCTCGTAAGTCTCTCGACCTGCCCAGAACAAACAGAGAAAATCCAGGGAAATATCCAAAGAAGCGAAAGTTGGATGTAACTTTGCAGCCGGCAAAAGTAAATCTGGTATGAAGGTAATTCTTCCAGGGTCCAGGGGCATCGCTCGGCGATGTGCGATGTCTAGAACGGTGATTTCCAACCTTCTTCAAGCTCCTCGTGAAGCCTTCCATTGGACCGGCCATTTAGTGTACACCGGGATAATAGCGCGCGAGAATTCTCCCCTCTATCACTTTTGCACATTGGGTCAGAAACCCCAAGGTACAAGCTTCGAGCAATGCAGGATGTCGCCATTTGACATGTGTCTCCCAGCCTCGTGGATGAAAACTCCTTCCTCTTCCAGTCAGGGCCCTTTACTCTTCTGAAACAACTGATGAAGATAATTGACCAAGACTTCTTCAATGATGAGCTGTCATCTCAGAAATTCCTTGTAACTGTGTCATCCAGTGATAGTGCCATAGAGAATTCTTCCTTCTGATTGTTATGTGCTCTCCTGTCCATACAGGCACTAGCCGCTGTAAATATGTACCGCACTTAACACGGAAGCCATCGATCATAAACACATCCAATGGATTCATTCCGCCACGCATCCTCTGCTCGGTGAGATGGCGCCACTAAACGCAAACCCTACAGACTCACAAAATTCCAAATCGCATTACACAGAAAAACAAGGCGTCCGATATCCGCAAAACTGAGTAAATGGAGGTGGCCGATGGGGCAGGTCTTTCAGGCAACAGGACGCTGAATTCATGTGGGGGCACAGGCTGAGTTGAGGGATAAAGAGAGGGCACTGCTTCTCGCTCTCACAATTTCATCCATGATCGAGGGTAAGGCCTTCTGAGAGTCGACTCTGCACTGGATCATGTTTTCGTGATTGAATGATTGATTAGCATTGTACCAGTCTGATATGGTCTTTCAGAGAGTGGATGTGGAGGGAAACTTGCTCCAGTTTTTGATCCACCAGCGGACAAACACGTGACTCAGAAGGGCCTCAGATTTTTTTTCTTCGTGGCGATTGATTCCCTAGGTAGTTCTCTATCAACTTTGCACCATGTATGACTATTTCAAGTTCAATCATTATCATTTCTTGCTTTCTTATGTCTTTCGCTGTCGTACTATTGTATTGGTGTTGAGTTTGCGCTCTCATGTACGTGGCACGCTGAGTCGTGTCATCCGACATCATGTAATTATACCCCACTCTGAAAGCACCTGATTTGTATTTTCTCTACATATAAGTGGGTGCATTCTGTCACGATTCATGATACGCAGCAAAGTTCGCAAGGCGGACTAGCTGTTGTTATATCCTCACCTGGTTCAAGTTCTGGAATGCTGGGGTCAGGGATGGCAAATTCGCCGAACCAGTCTGCCCATCAGATGGACAACACGTCGAGTATTACATGACAACACCCTCCACTAGTCAGCATACTGAATGAGCGTTCAATTCGTGGCAGTTTCTTATCTTCCGTTCCGCAAGAGAAATTCAATTCTGGATGTGCTGTTTCTGACACGGCAGGCACTGCTCATACTCCACTCCTACCCTTTCTGCTTCAATGAGAGGAAAGACACCACTCGTGGTCAATCCCGAGATGTTTTCCGTTATTCATTTCTCAAAAGCCGCTTCTCAGAAGCCCCATTGGTATGTGTCTTCTCCTGCTAAGAAACGAATTCACCGAAGGAGTTCTGATTCACTACACACCACCTGGAAGAAGTCTCAAGGTGGTTTTTCTCCACCACCTTCCCAACAGAAATTGTGTGAATACAGGGCTTTACATGTTCGACGAAGTCTGATATAACAGTCGCTGTTTGTGCTGCTCCATTCCGTTGCACACAAGATTAAACACGAGGGCCGTGCACTCGTCTATCGATATCGTGAGACACGCATATATCCCTTTCAACAATTTCCTCAACCACCCGATATCGACACAGGACAACGAGGATGGATAGGGAATTGGGATCGCGGCGTGATGATGAGGCCAACTTCTTTGAACATAGGGCTCTCCTGGCTGAGGAGATAGAGATCAAGGACGATGAGGATCTGGACAGATTTGAGGCGGTGAAGGGCGACACGAGGGTATTCTCGTTGTCGGAATACTTTGCGTTCTTCGTGATGGGCTTACCGATGATGTGGATTTGGTAAGATGGACACAAATATCCGAAAAGTATTTCTTGTTCTAACAATCTTCAAGGTCCATGATTATTCAGGCCGCCCCGTACTTTCAGCGCCGGTTTGCAGAAAACGCCACAATACTCCGATACTTCCAAGCCTCTTACCTGGTCTTCTTCGCCACAACGATGTTTCTCACAACAGTCTACTTGAATAGACAGCGAGAACAGCCCATATATACGCATCGACTCCGGAGAGCTCTATGTGGTTATGTAGCTGTGGCGACACTACTCATGATATCCGCATTCGAAGTATTCCACGTGAAGGCGGAGATCTACTATCCATTCACACTGGTCATGGTGGTGATGACTGGCATGGCGAATGGTCTTAGTCAAAATGCAGCATTTGCATTTGCCGCAGGATTCGGCCGTACTGAGTATGCTCCTGCTGTCATGACTGGAGAAGCCCTGGCAGGCTTCATTCCTTCGAGCATAGGTACGAATCTGCATCACAAACTCAAAAGCTTCTATTTTGCTAATGTCCTCCAGAGATCATCTCAGCCCTCGCATTTCCTACCGCATATTTCGAGGCAGATGTCTCAGGACATTCGCAAATGTCCTCCCTCACAATAGGATATTTCTTCTCTGCACTTCTGGTCGGCCTTGCATCTTTAGGAGCCCTAGCATTCTTGATTCCCCGCAGCGGAGCTCGACCACCATTCAAAGCATACGAGATGACCTCTGTCTGGACACGGTGGTCATTAACGCTCAAATGGCCAGCACTAGCTAACTTCTCCTGCCTTTGCATCTCCTCCGTATCCTCAGTATTCGTCACGAAAATTACGTCTGTGGTATCGAAAGATGTAGCACCGACCCTCCTACGACCAGAAGCCTTCATCCCACTCTCAATCGTCCTCTGGAACATCGGTGACTTTCTCGGGTCGCTCGTAGCCGTCTCTTCTCGCTTCTTGATTAGACGACCATTTCTGATTTTCGTATTGTCGCTCGCACGGATAGGGTTCATTCCGATGTACTTGATGTGCAACATCGATGAGCGAGGCTCGTTCGCAGGAGATTGGTTCTACCTGATATGTGTACAATTTCTCTTCGGTGTCACTCACGGATGGCTATCGGGTGCAAGCATGATGGGAGTGCCTGTCTGGGTGCCAGAAGAGGATAGGGAGGAAGCAGGTGCTTTCATGGGCATGACTTTGGTAACTGGTCTTGTCGCGGGAAGTATCCTTGGTCTAGCCGTTTCCCGAGTTTGAGATTGTGTTGAGGGGTTAGCATGGTGTGGCTTGCTTGAACATATGGAGTCGCGTTGGTCCCAAAAGTTTAGATGTTGGGGGCAGGGTACAAAAAGGACAAAAAGTGCACGCGAGCTTTTTCTTGCAGATTTCCTGCAATGGACTCAAATAGATTTGTGGCTCTTCGCTATCATGGACGGTGTTGGCGTCAGAAAATGAAAGAAATCTTTATGATCTGCAAGTTGTGTTAGTTCTGGCTTATTGCCTGCGATAATCATTGTCTCAAGTAATGGGCATGGGAAGTCATCTCGGGATCGCACTCAAGCTTCTCCTCGACATACATCTGCGTCTACATAACCCGAAGGAAACCAAAACTTGAAACATATCATATACAGCCAAAAATTTAAGGCACTGTTTGACATTTCAGTATTTCTTGAGGGAGGTTAGACGTCAACTCAAGGTTAGTGGGTCCCGCTTAGAGTACCCACTTCGGCGGGAAGGACGAGACGACACCAACCCAGCCCGCTTGGTATGAAGTCCAAGACAGCGATATCTCTTGTGTTAGATATATATCTTGGTGACTGAAAGCTATTCCTCGCCTTGCAAATGCCACATGCAACAAACCAGTCCGGGGGTAGTTGCCCTTTGATACTGAATGTAAACTCCACATACATCAAAAATCCAATCCCAATTGCCTGGCAAAACTCAGATGTGTTGATGGGAGAGTCGTGATGTTTCTGCCTCTATGCTCAGTTTCCTCGATGACAGATATCGACTGAGGATTTGGAGTGGTGAGTCCGGATGATGCTCTTGTCCTGAGCGATTTGATATGCTGTTCCTTCAACACAGTTCTGATGGGTATGTCTGTCCCGCACTCAGGTTTGATATGGAGACATGTCTCACTGAACTTGAAGGTCCGACTCTGAACATCAACTGCTTCGATATCGGCGCCGTTTTCGATCAATGATTTGATGATCTCCTGATTTTCCGCACTGTTCCAACTCGCTGCAATCTGGAGCGCTGTCTTTCCTTCTCTGTCCCTGGCCTCAATGTCTGCTACTATGTCAGTCAAGTACGCTATCATACCCATTGCGTGGGTACGATATGCCATGATAGGAGCATGCCTTACCAGGTACACCAACTTCCAAGAAGAACGCCACGCCATGTGGAAGGGATTGCCTCACTGTCTGAAGAAAGGCTTTCGTGAAGAGCTCTGTATCGTTGATCTGCACATCATTTTCTATCAAGGATTTGAAAATTGGATGCACCCAACCTGAAGCTCGGTCTACATATTGATGCAGAGAAGCCATTTCACTATGGTTTAGTATCCTTGGATTTCGATGCTGCAACAATGACTCGATAATTGATTGATGTCGACTTCCAAGAATTGCTTCGGAAAGCGGACTGTTGCCTGTGATATCCTGAGTATCAGTTGTTGCTCCAACTGAAATGAGCGATTGAATGCCTGGCCAGTCTTGCCGTGCAGCTATATACAGCGCTGTCCTTCCCATCCCATCCTTTGCTTCAAGATCTCCGTTGTATGCAACAAAAAGTTCCATCAATTCCAGATGATCAGACTTTGCCGCGCAGAACAGAATTGTGCCTCCCTCGATATCACGAGAGGCTATGTCCGCCCCATTATCAAGCAGTGCTTTTGCTCCCTCCAAATACCCAGATTTAGCAGCCATGTGAAGAGCAGTAGGGATATTCAAGGGAAAGTTCGATTCGGCAGTCAGTAGTAGCTTGATAACTCGCCACTGCCCTCCTTTGAGGGCAACATGAAGGGGTGATAGCCCGTCCTCTGCCTCGGCTGAAATATCTGCACCGTAGTCGCACAAGACTTGTGTGAGCGCTTCGTCTCCGTACAGAACAGCGTTTCGAAGAGGCGTTCTCTTCGCAGAATCCCTTGTATCGACCGCAGATCCCTTCTCCAGGAGCAACTTTACAATACCAAGACTTCCATTTTCGACGGCGAGAAAGAGTGGTGTCTCCCCTCTGATATTTCTACCATGTATATAAGCCCCATTATCCAGAAGCAATGAGGCAATTGGCTCGGACCCTTGGTGTACTGCTTTGTGTAAAGCTGTCTCATGGTCATGATCCACCACGTAAACATCCTTCCTTGGCGATGGCCAGCCAGAATAGGACTCAAGTTCTAGGTTCAAAAGCAGGTGAATAATGCTCCCATGGCCGCTACTGGCGGCTGTGATCAGTGGTGTGCTCCCATTGTCGTCCATTAGATGTAAGTTCGCCCCTTTCTCGAGCAGAAGTTGGACCATCTGCTCATGACCATTTGAGCTGGCTTCGTGAACAGCGGTTTGTCCACGTTTTCCTCGCGTATTGATGTTGATTCCAGATGTCAGCAGTGCATCGACTATCGCAACAAGGTCATAGCGAGCTGCAGTTAAAAGTCCTAATCCGGCAATATCATCTTTAGAATTGTAGATGGTATGATTCAGCGTTGACAACAGGGCGGCATCTTTCAGAAGAGCCAGAATTTCGTCTTTGATTTTGACCTCCACATAACCTGACGCATGTTTCCCCCAGTTTATCGACGCATATTTCAACAGTTTGTATTTTTCCCTTTGCCGCTTCATATCTTCATACCTCCGACATACTCCTTGAGAGAAGGTATCCATTGAGAGATAACGAACGCATGATCGCGCAATTTCCACGCGAGCGTCAGGGAACAATTCTTCGCGATACGTGTCGAAGTACTCTTCTGTTGTGTAGTGGACTAAACGCACGATTCGACTCCTTGGGTCAACTACGGCTAGCCCTCCACAGACGGTGATCATCATGGATTCCGTAGGGAGGTCCTCTTCGCTGATAGACTTGTCGTCGGGTTCGAAGTCCATCACAGCCATAGCTTGTTGAAGCTCTTCGATTTTCAGAGGTCTGTAAGAATGGGTGATCCAAGCTAGCAGTCTCATAGCAAGTTGTGCTTCCTCTTCATGCTGCCCTCTTATTCTCTGGATGGCGTCATGATAAACAGTGCTAAGCTTGGCAGGAAGTCTTTCAAGGGCCTTTCTGACCTGCCGTGAGCTCGTTTTTGTCTTCAGTGATTGGATATGGAGTTTCGCCAGCAAGAACCTTGTACTTATCAGTGATGATTCTGCATTGCGGATTTTCTGTGAGAAGCCAAGACTATCAGAAAGAATACATACATTCCTGTTGCATTGCTAACAATCTTTCCAAGGACTGTACGCTTCAGATCTGGGGATATTTCACAGAAAGAGCGTAACCTTCTGTTACCTGAAATCTGACCTGTTAAGAACAGTTCGATATCGCTATTGTTTCCCGTGATCTCTAGAGACGATGCTGAAGCGAACGACTCCGTAATATCTCCAAGTTTTCGTGAGGTACATAGAAGGTGTACGTTGGTGGGCAAGTCTAGAAGCAATTTTATGAATTTGCTCCTAGCTTCATTGGTTTCCTGGCATTCGTCTAGTGCATCAATAACTAAATAGGTGCGCGGAAATATGGTGATTAGATCACGAAGAAGGTTGGAATATTCGGACACTGCTGGTCTCGTATTTCGGGATTGATGTTGCTGATAGAGAGATCGCACAGATTCGGGTATAGAAGTACAACTCCGGGTAATTTGCTGGACTAGACTGGAAACTAGAGCGACCAGTGTCTGACTGGAACGGTCTTTGTAACTGCAGTATATGTACGCCAAAGCATCGGTGGAGGAAAGAAGTTGGCTTTCCAATCGGTTTATGATCGAGGATCTGTGTCTTCTCAGCAAACTTCTCAAGCATTAGATACGATCAGGCAAGCATACGCCAGGACTGTTTTGCCAGCACCAGCTTCAACCTTGTCAGCTCGAGACCATTGCAACAAAGCAGGTAATCAATCTCACGTTGTCCCCAACACCACAAAGTCTTCCTTGATCCAGATACCCATTTCTGGAATTCGGGCGATGCGAAGATCCATTCTCCAGTCCCATCTTCTTGCTGACTGAGTGTGTCCACCTGGCATTCATAGAACCTTAGAGGTGACAGCCAATTGATTATCTCTCGACTTTCGAGATCTGGAATATTACGGCGTTAGAGTTAATTTTGGAAGGGAAGTCACCGCAGCTCACCTCGATCACGATCTTTGATGAAAGCTGCCAAGTCACGGACCTGGCCGGAAATGTTCAGAGAAGTTTGGCTAAATCAAGGTTAGATCCACTGGGTGGAGCTTTGCTTTACTTACAGCTGGGTAGTATCGACAGCAAGAGCCAGGTTCGAGCGAATGTCCGTTACAATTTCCTTCAGCTTGGCCAGCGTACTTTCTCTAAAAGGATAGAGCAACCGTCGTCCTTGGTCATGGATTCTGCTTTTCATCTTTCCCGGGTCCGATACTGACTGGACTTTTGACAATTTCTTGTCTAATTTCTCGATGCTTGATCTGCACGCTTCAATACAACTAATGACCGTTGCACTGATTTCAGGAGTTCTGGCTAAAGTTTGCTCCAACTGGACTAAAGTTTCCGATAGACTCTCGACGAAAGAACACATAGTAGCCGCGTCTTTGGGGCCATCTTTCCAAGAGCCGTAATATTTTAGAAGACCTTGACACACCTGGATCCCAAGGGATACGATACCTATTGCAACCTCTGCCATGCTGGTTGCGAGGTAGCCGTTGGATTTTCAAATAGCTCATCAAGGCTGGACCAAGTGAGAAGAAGAGTGAGAAAGCGCGCTCCTGGGATCGGGCGAAGTGTCACATTGTGGCTGCGGCTGGGCCATGGCAGCTCGCGGAACTCAGCCAACAGCACCTTAAGTTCTCATCGACGAGGCTGCATGATGCATCCGCTTTCAGGGCTGATTTCGCAAAATATGTCGCCACTCATGTCAGCCTGACCGTTCCGTTGCAAGAACTGGGAAAGACTGGAACTGGTACAATGGACAGAGACAGCTTTTCAATCTTGTCGATAATTCAGTGGAGTGTTGGAGAGATGGGGCATGAAGGAGATAATAAGCTGAGTAGAAACGGTGGAAGACACAGCGGTCACGACTAGCTACCAAAACAGAGCTCCTATCTTCCCAGACAACAATGCTTGTTGCCTACGAGTAAAGGCTTGCTATGACACGGCACATACTTATGCCAGAAGGTTTCGCACTTGCGAATTTCATGTCAAAATCAGTGTAGTCGATAGTTAAACGGCCGTTCAACGACGTCGTTTTAAGGCTTTTAAACGAACTAACGTTTCTATACCTAATAACGAACCGCCGTTCGTTTTGTAAGTATATAAACTAACGGAACGAGGTCGTTACTAAGAACGAACGGATAAACTTACCTATAAATCTGCCTCTACTACGTCTCTAGTTACTTCCTCTACTCCTAGCCCTTTTAAAAGAGTATTCCGTCGAACCTCCGTATCTTTAGCTTCAATTTCCTACTTAATTAGACTAGTCTATAACTTTAAACACTCTAGATATTTAATTATATATATACTTATCTTATTCCGATGATCCGAAAGAGTGATTTTTACCGTAGAAAACGCGCGTTCTAGATCGCTAGATATCGCTAGAAGTGAGAGTATATTAAGAGCTATTCTAGAGAGGTTTGAAAAGGCTTTTTATTACATAGGCTTAAGCTACTACTTAATAGCGTTATTATAGCTGTAAATACACTCTATCTTATAATATTAGTTATATTCGTCTGTAATAAGGGTCGGCGTATCGATCTAACGTAGCTAGAGCTTGAACTTATTAATAAAAGAGGTATAAAGCGTCAGAGAAATCGGAATAGTTGATTTTAGCTTATATTCGTTATCCTAGAGCTTCTAAACAGCTGCCTTTACTTTCTCCTGCTAAGAGAGCCTTTAGAACTTCTCGATATACGACTATTTACGTGCGGGATTTAATAAGAGAGCTATAGCGTAAGCTAGAGATTCGTTACTTTTACTATAATATTTATCTATTTTCTACTATCCTAAATTAACTATCGCAGATATCTTAACGTCATCTTAATACCTCTCTTTAGCTTTCTTAAAGTAAGTAAGTATAAAATCTATTGAAAGGAGAACTGTTGTGCACCTAACGCACCTGAGGCACTCTATAAGGCGCTCCAGCTAACTAGAGGCTGCTTATATAACTAGAACTCCTAGAGCTTCCTCTTATAGGGGAGCTCTAGAATACCTTAATAAATCAAGACTTTCATACTATATAAAGCTCCTCCCTATAGTACACGATAGTTAAGAGCTATATTCGCTTGTTTAAGCTACTATACAAGTATACTACGTAGTACAGGTAGAGTTATAAGTAGTATTAAGAGATACTTACACCGCTACTTAAAGAACTCTTTTAAATACTTCCTTGAACTTCCTAAAATACTCTCAATACTATTAGTTCTATAGAAAGCCTCTCTAATATATTAACGTACTTTTAAGATAAGTTAATTAAACATAAGAGTGATACTCTCGATTAGAGAAAGTAGTAGCCCTAGTAGTAGACGACTTTCTAGTACTATACTAAACTTAAAGGAATCTAGAGATTTATTAACCCTAATACTAATAATATTAGAAATATTATCGAGTAATAACCGAATCTCCCGAGTATTAACGATTTTATACGAGAGGAGATAAATAGTTACTTTAGTAAGTAGATAGCGTTATTAATATAAGCTAACCTAGATTTACTAGTGAAATAGAACGTCGCTACTACTAAGGAAAGAGAGAGTATAATAGAACCGCCGGCGTCTATAAGTAAGCCCTTAGAAGCTAAGTTTAAAGATATTAAGGTACTCTAAGAAGCTTAAATAAGGGAGTACTTAAATAAGCTAGCTGAATAGATAGCGCTTAATAACTGTATTTAGAACCTCTTTAACTAGATAAATAGTACTATTAGCTAGTCTATTCTAACTAACGTAATTAATAATAATACAGCTGAGAGCGCCGTAGGACTATAAGTACTAGTTAGGTCTATTAAGCGTGATATAGTACCTTCAGATATAGTAGTACTAACCTCTGTTATTTCGGACTACACTAATATACTTAGCCTACTAATATATTAAGATAAGAAGTCGCGAATTAAACCTCGTATATAGTATAAGCTATAGTAAAAGAACTTCTGTCTTACAAGAGTATATAATATTCCTGATATATAAGGAGTATATAGTATATAAGCTTTCTTAAACGTAGTATTAGTTTAATTAGAGACTTAGGCTACTTAAGTACTCACTGATATTATAAGAGATAACACTTTAGGATATTAGTATAGTATAACACTAGAGGAGTATGATCTAGTGTTTATAGCGAATATAGAGGAGTACTACTAGAATAGAGGCAAGGGAGCTAATAGTTTCTATACTATACTAATACTAAGTAGTTATTCTAATATAAGAGGCTCGTAAGACTATTCCGGAAGCTCTTAGAATCGCTTTTATTTAAATTAAGAAGATAGGAAGACTAATTGCCCCTATGGAATCAGATACTAGTACCCTCTAATTAAGTACTAGAAACTCTATTTCGCTTATAATAGCTTTTAAGCTAATAGTATAAGATCTATCTAAATAATAAGTAAATTAAGAGGATTTATAAGACTATCTAAGTACCTAAGTATATAGAATTACACTAAGAGATCTCTAAGGAAAGTTAGACTACTATCTCTATAGCTTAGATTACTAGGAAGAAGCTTAGTAAGAACTGAGAACTATTATCTTAGTAAGCTAAAGGGAAGTACCTTAGAAACGTTAATATAACTACTATTAATTTAAAGCTCTTAGACCTTAAAGAGATACTTAGAATCTATACCGCGGACTTTATTAATATTCCTTATATACTTTTAGAGAGTACCTTAGTTAATAACTATAGCGCTTAGCACTTAGTTAATCACGAGAATAAGCTAGTTCTAGGTTCCTTTAAGAGATTAACTGATAATAACTATATAAAAGCTAGAATATAATGAATTCTAGTAGTCAGCAGAGGGAAATAAGTATTTAAGAACTCCTTAGCTAAGCTAAATAATCTAAATACTTAAGACCTATCACTTAATAATATCGCTATAGTCTATAATTTTTATATTAATATTATCTTAAAGGTATTACTAAAAGACACCGGGCTATAATACTTAAGGAAAGATACTACTTTATAATACAGGGAGGTTTAGACAAGTGTAGTTATTAGATAGCTAGTTCGAAAGTTTAACTTAACTTTCTTTAAATATAAGCCTTTTAGATACTCTCGTTACTCCTATAACCTAGTGACCTTAATACGTATACTTATTATAATATACCCGACTCTAAGTTGTAGCTTAAATAAGTAAGGTTTCTAATCGTTAAGTTAATTACTTAAGAAGCGTTCTATAACTCTATAACTATAGTACTTACGTACTAGCTATTTAGGAGAGAGTACTCTACGGGCGTTACTTAAAGCAGGGAGAGATATATAATTTAATAGAGTATTAAGAATCTAGTATAAAGATTATACTATTATATATACCGGAAATATTATATTAAGATAGGAGTTAGAGAATAAGATAGCTAGGCTATTCTACTAAATCCTCTAGGACTTATTCAACTTTAATATAAGTTATAATAGCACTCGCTAACTACTTATTATTAAGAATAAGTATAGTAGGAAGCTCTTTAGCTATATATTACTAAGTAAGTTAGCTAATTATATTATACTAGTCTTAGAGAACTTTAAGCGTTAGACTAAGTATTAATATAGACTATTAATCTATATTATTTAGTATAATAATAACACCTCAGTTATAGCTATTTAAGGTATATTAAAGTACAAGGAATAGACTATAAGAGAAGGGATAGAGGTAGAGAATCCCCTGCTATATACTAAAGAACTTATAAGTAGTATAAAGCGCGTAAGATAAGAGATTATTACTAAATCTATTAAGATATATATTCAGGTGAACTTACCGGAGAAGCTTTACTTAGAGGTATATTATATAATAATCTACTTTTATAATATAAGTCCTCTTATATACTAAGGGATAAGGAGTCTAAATTAAGTACTCTAGGAATAGTTTCAGAACTATTTTTAGTAGTATAATCTACTAATAGTAAAGAAGCTCTTAACTAACTTAAGACTTAACTAAAGTAAAGTATATATATATAAGGCGTGTATATATCTAGTTATAACTAATAAAGAAGCTAGAAGGAATTATAGAGGCTTTAAAGTTAGCCCTAGAGCGCACGTTAGATACTTAGTTAGTTATATTACTTCTAACTTATATAGGATCTAAGTGCCCTAGCTACGCTATATAATAATTATATATAATATTCGGTTTAATAAGATAACGTTCTATTCCCCTAAGAAAAAGAGGAAAGTTAGCTAACCTACCTCTACTCTAAGGGAGCTTATTAAGGACCTAGAAGAGAATATTATCGCTCTAGATATAAAGTATAGTATTAGTAATATTACTAATATAGTTATAGCGGAATATATAGCTAAACTAAACGAAGCTATATTTAAGACTAACGTTAGTATTAAGACTACTATACTAGTTACTAAGGAGGTACTAGAACTAATAGATATTACTCCGATAGAGCTTCTATAAAGCTCGGGAGTAGTACTAAAGGTATAAGAGCTAATAGAAGTTGACTCGCTAGAGCTCCCTTAGACCTCTAAATTACCCCCTTATAAGAGTTAGACCTTAAGAGTAGAGAGTAATAATATAGTCCTTTATAATAATAACTTCACTGATAGTAGTAGAGATTTAACTCCTTATAAGAGGTTAACTTAAGACGCCCTAAGAGATACTAAAGCTATAGAGACTAATTATCTCTTACCTTAGTACCGGAGGGATACTATAAGTAGTAATAATACTAGTCTAGGTATTAAGGAGGCGCGCTAATAAATATACCCTTAAGTTATATTACCTAGCTAATAGCTATAAGACCTTAAGTAATAGGTTACTAAGCTTCTAGAAGCTTCTCCTAAAGTAATAAGGACTAAGTTTCTATAAGTAGCTAGAAATAGCCGCTAATAGTAGTAAGTAATAGAGCGTAATTAAATCTAGGTAACTTAGGAAGCTTAGAGAGAATATAAAAAGCTTATTATATATAGCTATTACTCTATAGTAATAGCTTTAAGATAAGATAGCTACTCG